TCGAAATCACGATATATTTTTTTGATATTTTTTGATATTTTTGTCATTGGTTACATTGAACTCCAAAGCAACTTCCAGTGAACGAATTCAAGCGCAAAATAATATTTTCGCAAAATGCACGCAAAAGAAGGTATGTATGTGATACGTGTGTGTGGTGCGTATGGCCAGATTTCGTTGTGTATGTGTGCATATGTAACTTACGCACATACCACTGAAATTTGGCGCCAAACGCGCACACACACGTTCACACATATATAAATTAGTTTTAATTCTTTGCTGCTGAGGGAAGAAGCAGGGCGACGGACGCACACATAACGCAAAGGGTGTTTTTAAAATCCATAAAAACTGAATAATGGTCATAACGTATATATAATAATAATACTATTATTTTTAAAAAGAAACTTATTGTCTTTTTATTGTGGGCGCCAAATTTTTTATTTAACACGAAAAATATCAAAAATATCGATATATCGATATTTTTATGTGATATTTAGAAATATTATTATCATATTATTTGATAAAAAAAATATCATCGATACGATATTTTCTAAAATTTCGACAACCCTATTTTACTCTTCGCTCTTGTTTCTTTTTATAAGTTTGAGTTAAGAAAGCGTAAATAAGTGAATTTCATAAATCAGCTTCCAGACGAGATGGGTTCCCCTTTTTTTCCTTGGTTCATTCATTTGCTTACTCTCGTACAGTCATGACTTTCTTAGGCTCAATTGTTAAGCGGCTTTTATTGTTGTAATTTCCATTTTGCCAGCTCACGTTTAATTGTTTTGCAGATATTTTTTTTTTTTGTGTAAGCCACAAGAGTCATACTGTCAGAGTTTATTGTGTTAATGGCCGATTTCGTGCTGACGACGCAACAGACTTAATTGCACACCTTTGCAACATGCTCTGAAAACCGGGGGAGTTCAAGCCTTCGAAAGAGAGAAGTATTTGGGAAACAACCGAAAATAATTGTAGAAACGAAGCGAAGCAAAGCACATAGAAACAAAAACCCAAGCCATCAACGATTAAAGCAAAAACAGACATTGCCAGCCACCCATAGATTTCACTTTTTTATGGTTTACTTTTGTTTCTTGGCGATTCGGCCGCAAAGCAATTCAATGCCAACTTCAAATGACTTTATGGCAAGCACACAAAGCAAAGACATATGAGATATTAGTTGGCATACAAGTCATAATAAAGTAAAAATTAAAAAAACCTAAGCTTAAGAATTACTCAGACTCTACTTAAAAAAGAACAATATAATTGCCTTTGTTTTCAGTACTGGGAAGACCCCACAAGCGCAATCTGACTACGAATGCGAATCTGAGCCATGTGCTCGATAATGCTGATCAACTGGCAGACACTAACAGACACGATTCAGCCCGCACCCACTATTTCTGTTTTATATTATATGTACATGGTTACGTATATATTCATTCATCGTCAAACATTTATAATGAAGTATCCAAAGGCAGGCAAAAAATGTACATATAAAAGTGTTTGCTTTATTGTCTGTACAATACTTCCTATATGTGGTGTACGAGTTAAGATGGGAATATATATTGTATTTATGCAAGCAAATTAAATATGGGAGAGTGATGTAATACTATTGGTTTTGGACTCAGAGATCGGGAGCCCGCTATATCAGAGATAATCAATTACAGACGCCTGTGGCGCGTGCCGCCTTCTTTCAGTGGCCCCTAGTTGCCAGTTGGAAGTTCCATTGACTGCGGATCCGATCGCGTTTTTTGGGATTTGGGTTTCGGGGCAGTCGTCTCTTTCCCAGCCTCCATTGTCTGGGTTTCTCCTCGCTTTTTGTCTGCCTTCACAGCGTCGCCGGTTTCGTTTTTATGAAAAGTTATATGCACAGACGGAGCAAAAGCAATTGCATTCACTAAATACCCTTCCTAAAGGTATGAGGGTTTTGTATTTAAAGAGGTTTTTAATTTTTATATTAGATTAGGAATCATTTTATTTGTATTTTTCAACAATTTTGTAACCTTCTCTGCTACCTGTTGCTTTATTAACTAAGAATTTTTTTTAGAATTCAATAAAAGATTTACCTTCAATTACTCATTCTGTTTTTTTTTTTTTTTTTGCAATAGAATGCAGCGGACAGGGTTGACACACCACAAAGCAAAGCAATCTCGGATTATGCAATCCGATATGGCAACGCCTTGCGACATTCATCTGGCAACACTATCGCTTCTGTTTATTTTTGAATCGCAACAAAAGCGACCTCGGCGAAAGAATCTCACTTTGCAGGAGAAAGAAAGTTGACACAATCACAAAGACGAGACGAGAAAAGAAGAAAAAAGAAAGAGAAGACCAGGAAGCAACTGCGGAAAAATTGTGTGCAGTCAATGAATGAAAAGAAGAGCAGTGGATGCCTTTGCCAGACGAAAGAGTTGCACACACAAATAAAAGTAAGAAAGCAAAGCAGAAGCTTTAGATATCTGCGTGGATTTTCCGTTTCGTTTGGAAGTCATTTTCCACCACCATGAAAATAAGGAAAACGTACCGTTATTTATGAGTTGCATGTGCGGTGAGTGGTTGGTGGTGGGAGGTGTGGCTCATGGCCGATGGCGAGAAGTGTGTTAATTAACAAAGCAAAGTAGAGAGCCACTAACAAGGCATCCGGAAAGTAAACCGAAGAAAACCGTATTACCATTTTGCTTTGATCACTTTTGCAAAGCCAATTGGAATTTCCGAATGCATTTAGAGCGTAATAAATCAAGCAATGAAGTTTTAACGATGTTTTCAATTATTTATGACCAAAGAGCTATTCCAAAATCGAGGAAATACGAAACCTCATTATTGCGTTTAGTTGTCATTGCCAAAACGATCGTAAGTATTAATGTAATTTTAACCATTAGAGCTATACACAAGATGTTAAGGCATACCCCAAATCCAAAGTGTTTTAGTTTCCAATAAAAATCTGCATAAAACATGTTATTTTTTAACAGTTTTATGACCATTTCTAAGTAACGCCTTTGCATTTCAATGCTCATAAATAAATTAAAACTGCATAATTGCAAAAGTACGTACGTACGATATTTTCCACCTTTTAATCGATCAGTAACAAGCCCTTCCGATCACCTGCTATTAAACGTGATGCGCAGGCAAACCTCCACTCACTTCAGCCGGAGCAATCTTATCTAATCGAAGTGCCAGATACAGATATAGACAATATAGCGAATATGCGGGACTCTTCCCGGCTATCAAGCAGTCGAGCACTTGAAAACATAAACATCCGAGGCCCTTCTGCCCAAAGACCAGACATCTGTTTGCCATTTGATTCGATTCGATTACCCGAGTGGAGGCCCCAATACCCGACAGAAGTCTCGACACTGACCTCCACACCAGGTAACCGAGGTCGCACAAACAAACACCGAACAGCCATATAGGGTGTTTGCCTTTGATTTAATGGATTTGCGTGTAAACTGCTTCTAATATCATTTTTCCTACTCTTAAGCACTCGCTAGAAATAAAAATCTGGCGACGGCAATCAAAATGTCAAACGGATTGACTGATTGACGACCGATCGGGAGGAAAATTAAGTGAGGGGCACGAAAGTCGCTCCATTGGCGTTTTATTTTTGGAGGCTAGGGTCGTGCGGTTCACGTTTACCGTACATACACATATTGCAGACACCTCAAAAGGGTTCCCAAAATAGATACAGGAAAACTTTGGTAGCAGGGTCAATTATTTTCCTCACAAAATAAGCCCCAAATACAGTTAAATTTTAAAAAGTACTCAATAGCTTTTAACATATGAATGTACCTATTTACATATTTTTATAACTATCTAACTCAGTTTTTTTAAGAGGGAACATTGATGATATTGATACCGAAAAATAAATCTTCGGAAACGTTGACTGTAAATTATAAATGCTTTAATTTACTGGGCTAAAAATAGCCTTCTCCAAACGCGCTGGAGCTTTGACATTGTTTCCCCAGTGTTCTCAAGTGATTTTCCGCTGGCGATTGCAGCGGGTGTTCCCCGCCAAGAACAGAACAGATCCCAAATTACCAGGCGCAGATACATAAATTAGTTGGCTTTAGCTTTTAGCTGCTGTGCTTGTAATTTGCAACACGAACAGACTGGCGCCATATTTGTTTTTGTTGTTACTTTCGGTACGTGTGTGTTGGTAGGTTTCCAATTTGAATTGAGAGTGCAGTTTACACACATATTGTGCAAAACAATGTGCTGAGATGCAGTTTGTCGTCGTGGTTGTTGAAGCGTCAGCGAATTAATCATCGGAAATGAAATGCGGTTAAAACCCAGCTGGCCAAGAAGAGTGAAAGAGAGAGAGCAACTTATAATGAGCCAGGGCCAAAGCAAGCGCTGACGTCACAACAGCACAGTTAACATACATGCACACACTGACCGCTCTGCTTTGACACCATTCGCACTGTTGTTCTCTCAATTCATTACGCTCTCTTTTGTTTTATTTTTTTAATGATAAGGGGGAACTACTAATCGGGTTATCGGTTTTAATTACAGTCGACTCTCGTTAATTCAAACCTGCGATAATTCGAACCTCTCTATAATTCAAAGTTATCACGAGGTCCCTACGAAATCTCTTTATATTTCGAAATAAATCAATACATTTTCATACACTTGGTAATTCGAACGAAAAAATCATTGATATTTAACAAAACCACGCGTTAATTCGAACTCATCAGCGTCTAACACTCGACAATTCAAAGTTGCGAGAAAAAAATTTTGCGACAAGTTCAAACTTGCCTTTGTTTTTGTTTTGATTATGTAGTTTTTGACGCACACACTTCTTACGAATTGGTTTGTGTAGTTATTCAGTTACTGTTACTCTTTCGTTGGTATGCATATTAAAAGTTAGTGTTAGCTATGAGCCCTAGAACAATTTTCGAACCATTTGATATTTCAAACACTCGATAATTCGAAATATTTCAAGAGTCCCTCGAGTTTCGAATTAACGAGAGTCGACTGTAATGCAAAAAAATTGAAAACAACAACTGTACCTTGGGTTTGTTCAGCCACTTGCGAAACGTGTCCATTACGGGAGAGTGTTTTTTTCAGCTGCTGCTCCACAGTTGTTGCTTCCCTCTCTCCGCCAGCCTCCTCCTCCACAACACTCTCTGGTTGTCCTTGCTCTCGCACACACACAAGCGCACTGCCTCACTCACACCGAACCAACACAAGCGCGTGCGAGCCAAACAAAACAAAGAAACAATGCTATTTTTTGTTGGCAACTGCTAAATGCACATTACTGATTTTAACACTTTTTCGTAAATTGCGTTTAAATGCACTCTGCTTTTCGCCTTTTGTTGTCTTTTTCTCTCCTCCTTATTCACTTTTCGTGCTCTTCACACGCGTGACTCTGCGAGTCTCATCACTGGAGCTGCATTTCCCTCGCGGAAATTGCGTCGGTATTTTCCTCAAAAGCCTGCAGAGCAGTGCGTCGCAGCGGAAGCTGGTGGGGCGAATTGTAAACTATTTCACTAAACTCGCGCACTCATCCGCCCTTCGCGTTTTCCGTCGACAGCGGAGAGTCCGTGCGTTCCGTTCAAAGTTTTTTTTCGATTAGAGTGGCCGTTCTGTGGTTTTTGTTGTGAACCCACGGGAGTGTGGCCATTCACGGACCCATTGAAATACCAAAACTCATTGTTTGTTATCGATGTTTACCAAATCACTCTTTTTCAGTCAGCGTTGCCAACTATTTCACTTGACGGAGTTTATTGTGACACTCGGTAACCGAAAGATTCAATCAAACTTATGATAGGGTAAAAGAACAAGACTTGGCCGTTTAAATTTAAAGTAAATTACAACAAATGAAAAAAAAAAAACATTTTAACAATCATTACACCAATGTATCTAAAAAAAATTTAAGTGTTACAAATATGCCAGGTTTGCTTAAGGTAAATTTGCTATAACTTTATTTTCAACCATAAACATGAAAACAAAAAGGAAATTAGCCTTGTCGAGCTGAGAGACCCCAAAAGGCATGGGTGGCAGCCCAGTGATTGCTAGGAGGATGTGCTCGCTAGGTTAGGAGGATGTATTCGCTAGATTAAGAGGTGTACTTGCTTGGTTCGGTGGGTTACCGGGGGCACCCACCGGAGTCGGATTTTGAAACATCGATACTATCGTTTGTATGCCCGATTTGTATTCAAGGTACATAGACAACTCTACTGCTCCAACCGGTTGGGAAAACGTTGTTCAACCGTTTGGGAACCGATTGTGAGGTTGGAATAACAAGCAAAGATATCAACCGATGGTGGGGTGATCGGCTAAGGCCGAACCCGATACAACAACCCTACTGTTCTGCCAGTTTCTTTTTGGGGATTTTTATTCAAGCTACATCGATACATTATCAACAACCCTATCGCTCCACCAGTTTGTTTTTGGGGAGGGCTAAGACCCGCGCGCTGACTATAAATTAATTCCTGGAAAATCGTCGTGTCGCTAGTCGTGCATAGTTAACAAACGTAACCAAGAGTATTACAGTTGCCCGGACGAGTGACAAGCAAAAGCAAAAATAGTAGTTACTTTACGGAAAGCAATAAAACGAATTAAAAATGTTCTCACGACCCAGGTAAGCTTTTTGCAAGGACTCGCGGCCAGGATGTGAGTGTGTGTGAGTGCTTGGGGGCGGGAATTATGCAACATTTCGCGATTCGGGACGAGGAGCTGCCCCAGCTGGTAGCCCAGTGACCTAGTCATTCGGATTCGGATCAGACGAGTAGCCGCCAAGGCGTCGGTATCGGTGTACCACCCCTTTCTTTTTTCTATGGCGCAGCTTTCGTTTTCATTGGCACAAACAAAACGTACGGCAGGGACTCCTTATGTGCGAGCGAGAGGGATTCGCACATGGCCTGACATTGACCCTGTTGTGTCGCTCCCTCTTTGCACTTCCTGATTTTCGGCGAGCAGCTGTTCGCAGAATTTTCACTTTTCCCTTGCAGTTGCATAAGAGTTTTCGAATTTACCTTCATTTTTTGGCTGCCAAAACAACGAACAGCTGAAAAAATCAATGGGGTGCACAGAAAAAAAATGCAAAAAACTTGTATCTATTCATGTGAACACGAAAAAGTTCTCAGCACGAGAAAGCAAACATTTAAGAGAGCAGTTTAGTTTTTTTTGCCAATAGACAAGTTCAGTTTTTGTTTTTGAATATCACAGTTTTCCTTAATTGTGCAATTATAAAACTTGGTATCTTTTATTTCATGTGTAGCGAAAAAGCAACACCTTCACGTCCATGGACATGGACGTATATTCGAAAGATGGTCTGGCAAAATTCTAAAATTAGTGTGTATACAGAAACAATATGTGTTGTGTTTTGCCTCTGTAAGCGTTTTTCGTTGCCAAGTTCATCAAAAATGTTTCAGCTGGCTCGCTACTTTGCGTCTCTTTCCCACGCAAACCGTTAGCCAGAAGCGAAGAAATTCGCTCAACCAAAAATTTAAGAGTTTAATGAACTTTGCCAACTTTTTGCCTTCAGAGATTAGTTGATGGAGACCATATTCTTAGGGCTTTTGGGGGCCCTAAAAATAATTAATGGTAGCCGCGCGCACACACTCATAGATATACAATATCACTCGAAAGCATTTACGACACGCACTTATTCCGTGTATTTGCCTCAGATATGCGAAATTATTTAGCACTTGACGAGGGGCTCATGTGAGTGCCGATCAAACAGTTGGGGAAAATAGACGAATGCCAGATAGCGTTACCAATACGATAATTATCGCTCCGAAATGCTCGCATTGTCGGCGGAAGGGATCTCTGGGGTCTCGTCATGGGGTTCTCAGCGCGGCGCACGTCATTAACCGGTTCCAACTTGACCAAAATCCGATACCATCGCCGACCCACTCCCCTCGGGCATGATTTCATCAATGAACCGCAAACAGAAATTAGTCACACGCCTCTGTTTCTCCTATTTGCCTCTCGTAATTAGCACCATCCAATGGAACTGGAAGCCAGCTGAAATTTACAGCGGAGGTCAAAAGAATAGCGCTCGATCTAAGGTCACTGGTACGCGGTAGGAACAGAATTGTATAACCAGGACTTGATTTTAATTATTTGATAATAAATTGTCAAGTGCATAATTTATTTTTGTAAGCACTTCATTACAAGTAGTGGGAAGTTTGCCACGTAATCTTATCTAAGTGAGTTCTATAAGTTCAATAACAATAATGTTTTCAAGTTGAATGATCGAAAATAATTATTAAAGAGATACTCTGGTTAGTAATTGATTGAGTTGTACACTCTTAAGGACCGTGTTTAAAACTAAATACTTTTCCGCAGGCAACAATAAGTAAACTATAAACCTGAAAATATGTTTTGCTTATTGGAAACTTAAGATTTCGGAGCTAATATTATGATCGGAGGTGTTGGTGGATTTTATCGTCATGTTGCCAGGCCATCCATCCCCCTTATCGCCGGCGATGTGGATTCCGGGGGACAGTTGTAAACAATGCGGCTTAGTTTGCCTTCTTTTTTGCTTTTCATTTTATATTTTGGCGTGCCCAGCGCGGTGATAAACAGAAAGCAGCTGACGTCGACCTTGGAAATAGTTTTTATATTCCGTGTTTAGATGTGTGTTTGCTTTTGTGTGCGTGTGGGGTGGAAAACCTCCCACGGCAAAGTCAAGAACGCCAGGGGGGAGCTCTCCACCGCTGGCCCATCTCAATGTCAAGAGTGCCCGTCCGGGGGTGCTCCAATTGCTCTGCTGATAACTGACACACGTAATGCACTTTTCTGAATTGCAGCTTGTGCGGAACCGTTGGCAAATTGTGCCGCTGCGGCACTTCGGCAGCGGGAATTACTGCGTTCCCAGCAGCAACAGTGCCGGCCTCCCGAAACTATCACGAGGTGGTGGGCGACATCATCTGCCCCTCGCAGGTGCGCGGCATAGATCACATCCGTGATCCACGCCTCAACAAGGTAAAAATCTTTCCCAAACACTTGGTGTATGATTAATTCATCACAAAAACTTGATTACTTAACAAGTTATAAGGGAACTCCAAAACACATAACTACGTAAAACTTTTATCGCAAGCATGAGCTTATCAGTAAATGATAAAACAATTTATCACATAATTGAAATTTATTTTTAGTTATGTGTACACAAAACACAACAAATTATACTACATATATGATAAGCAATTTGATTACGTATCGATTTTAACTTGATGCCTTTTTAAGCCTTTCCATTAATTTTTATTACTCACCTAAGCAAAAGTAAAATATTATTCGGTTAATTTATCCATTTGTTTGAAAACAAAGTTAATTGCTCACATAAAAATAATTTTTCCTTAACCGTTTCAGGGCCTGGCCTTCACTCTCGAGGAGCGCCAGACTCTGGGCATCCATGGACTTCAGCCGGCGCGATTCAAGACGCAGGAGGAGCAGCTGCAATTGTGCAAGATCGCCGTGAACCGCTACACAGAGCCGCTTAACAAGTATCTCTACCTGAGCGATCTGTACGATCGCAATGAGCGCCTGTTCTTCCGTTTCCTCTCGGAAAACATCGAGGATCTCATGCCCATTGTGTACACACCCACTGTGGGTTTGGCCTGCCAGCGCTTTGGCCTGATCTACAGGCGTCCCCATGGTCTCTTCGTTACCTTCAACGACCGAGGTCACATCTTCGATGTGATGAAGAACTGGCCGGAGCCCAATGTCCGTGCCATCTGCGTGACGGATGGTGAGCGAATCCTGGGACTGGGCGATCTGGGTGCCTGTGGCATGGGCATTCCCGTGGGCAAGCTGGCCTTGTACACGGCTCTGGCCGGAATCAAACCCCACCAGTGCCTGCCCATCGTGGTGGATGTGGGCACCAACAACATCGATCTGCTGGAGGATCCCCTGTACGTGGGCCTGCGCCAAAAGCGAGTGGTTGGTCGGGAGTACGATGACTTCATCGACGAGTTCATGGAGGCGGTGGTGCAGCGCTATGGCCAGAACACCCTCATCCAGTTCGAGGACTTTGGCAACCACAATGCATTTAGGTTTCTGGACAAGTACCGCAACACGTACTGCACCTTCAACGACGACATCCAGGGCACCGCCTCCGTGGCCGTCGCCGGTTTGTATGCCTCTAAGCGGATTACTGGTAAGTCCTTCAAGGACTACACCTTCCTGTTCGCCGGAGCGGGTGAAGCGGCCATCGGCATCGCTGATCTGACCGTTAAGGCCATGGTCCAGGATGGCGTGCCCATCGAGGAGGCGTACAACAGGATCTACATGGTTGACATCGATGGTCTGCTGACCAAGGGCCGCAAGGTGGGCAACCTGGATGGCCACAAACTCAACTACGCCAAGGATATTGCTCCGATGACAGATCTCGGCGAGATTGTTTCCACCATCAAACCCAGTGTAAGTGATTTTTTGGTGTTTCCCGTATGGAAATTTTACTATTTTTGATATTATCAACAGGTGCTTATTGGTGCTTCGGCAGCTGCTGGAATTTTCACACCTGAAATCCTGCGCACCATGGCTGATAACAACGAGAGGCCCGTGGTGTTCGCCCTGTCCAATCCCACCAGCAAGGCGGAGTGCACCGCCGAAGATGCTTACAAGCACACGGATGTGAGTGGCTTTAATCTCCGCTCCATTTCAACTTACTTTAATGAAATCTTTTTCTCTGACAGGCTCGTGTGATCTTTTCGTCTGGATCTCCGTTCCCACCGGTTCAGGTCGGTGACAAGACCTTCTACCCGGGACAGGGCAACAATGCCTACATCTTCCCCGGCGTTGGCTTGGGCGTCATCTGCACAGGCACCCACCACATCCCCGACGAAATGTTCCTAATCGCCGCCCAGGAGTTGGCCAACTTTGTTGAGCCCAGCGACATTGAGCGAGGATCGCTGTACCCTCCTTTGTCGAGCATCCGGGAGGTGTCCATGAACATTGCCGTTGGCGTGACAAAATGTGCCTACGATAGAGGTGAGATACACATTATATATCTTTAATAAGTTTGAAGCTAACTAAACGAAGAATAATTTGCAAATCCTCTAATTACATTTAACATTTGTAGGCTTGGCATCTACCTATCCGGAGCCGCAGGACAAGCGCAAGTGGCTGGAGAACCAGCTGTACAACTTCAACTATGAGAGCTCCATGCCAGCGACCTGGACCTGGCCACGAATGCCCTTCATTAAAACTCGTGATTTAGTGCCCACGGAACTCTATGGAAAACAAAGTGATAATTAATTTTTTTCTTTATTTATTTTAGGCGAAGAAAGCCCGCTCATTGCCGCCATCAAATAGAAAGCATTAAAGTGTTCAACTGATTGATGGCACCGTTCTGTTTTGCATCTAACACACTCTACTACTTCAAGCGTACACCATCAGCACCAAGCAACCAACCAACCGACTACTAACCAAGCCTACTCTAGACTAGAAGAACAAATTTTCAAGTGCTAACTTTATTTAAATGTTTCTTGACCAATTCGTTGGTATCGTTTGCCGAGCTCCGAGGTTTGAGTCTGCTGCTCCAGCTTTTTCCACAATGTTGACAAAATTATTGTTATAATGCCACTAGATCTTTGGACATATATGCGGAAAAGTTAGAGGCTTTGAGACAAATAACGAAGCCAGCGAATTAGTTCTTAAGTGTATTTTCAAATTGTTCATAGTATTATGTATGTATGCCGTGTTTTTATATTTGTATAAATTATCATGTTATTAATTTTGTGATACCAAAACGAAACCAAACGACGCTGACGACTGTGACGATGACTACGCCTCTAAAAAAAAGCAATTACGCAGTATTCTATCCTATCACTATCCTATCTGTATTTAATCTATGCTATGTTTATGGTTTGCTGTATCTACCACCCAATTGGCTTTGCAGTCCCATTCCCCCGCCGCTTGCCATTACCTCCCTGCATTCTCTGTGCATCCCAGCTTCCGATCTGATCTGCTCTGTCTACTACTACTAACTCTGACGGCGGCATCAAGCGAGCTCTGAGGCTATATATATATACCTACCCAATTCACGCTTAATCACCCACCCGAAATTCGACAATTGATTGACTTATCTATTGCAATATGTTCCTTTCGTTGACATACAGAGAATGAAGAAATTATGTAAATTATCGATTTCCCCAACCAACCGACCGCCTAGAACAATTGGCTACATAGCAGAGCTAACTGCTTCGAGAACTGGTGAGAGCAACCCAACCAACCACCCAACCAACCAATCATCCAACTGATTCCACATGTAAAACAACTTAACTCGCTGCCGTTAACCAACAACAATCTATATTTTTTACTTTATGATTTTTATCGTTTAGTTTCCCTATATCTTAAGATATATTCGAGTGACGATTCTGTTTGTTGTTTAGCCATGTCTGATATTTATTAACGCAATTAAGCAGCTTTGTTATAATTTATTGTTACCAAGGTCGAGCTAATGTATCAATAACTAGAACCCTATCCCTAAAGATCGATCGGACCGATTCAGCCATTGTACCACGGACTAGATGATGATGATGTGCGATAAACAATAAAATAAAACAAAAGTTAAATGCTGACGTTTCTGCTTAATGGGATCCTTTATAAAAAGTATTCGCTTGCGATCTCTTCAAGCCTCTTTGTTCGCCGAGCTTTTCGGGGAGAGAAATTCAAGTTTTGCTGGGAAAGAGAGTAAGAGACAAGTTTTGACTGAACCCAGATCGCATTCAATTTACTTGTCTTATTTTTTTCTGGGAAAGTATAAACAAATGTTTGATAATATTCGGATATTCCCACAAACTGGCATTAATATTCCAAATCACAGGGGGGAAGTGGAGGCAGCCTTTAGAACTGAGAGATTTAAGCTCTGGTTCAATCTTGATTTGTTTCTCCCGTCTGCTGGCTGCCAAGTATAAAACGCAACTTCTCAGCTAGCTATCTTCCAGTCGAGCTCGGAGCGTCTGTTTGCCCAGATTCACAGAGTCACACGTCACACTTCAGGTTTCGATCAGTCCAGATCAGCGATCTCAGCGAGATGATAGGCCGCAGCCTCGCCGTTCTATATGGCATTGCCCTCGTGTCGTCGATGGGCGTGAAATCTGCCCAAGCAGGTTAGAGGAATTCTCTGAATCCGAATCTCAATCTGAATCGGAGTCCGCGTCAGTGCAATGCTAATATTGGTGTACATTACATGGGTCAGCCTACGCCGACGACTGCACCACTCCGGATGGCGACCAGGGTAGCTGCATGCCCTTCTCCTCCTGCCGGACCATCGAGGAGCGGCTCACAAGTGCCCAGAAGTCGGGACAGAAGGTGCCGCCCGAGTACGCCGCCTATCTGCAGAAGGCCTCCTGCGGCGAGTTCAATGGAGTGGTGAGTCTGAACCCCTGTTTTTCAAGGCCACTCTGCGCCAGGAAACAAAGTGTCCAAAGAGCAATGAACAGTGCGAAATCCAATACATCGAACAAGTGTCAACATAATCTTTAATCAACATATATAATTGATTCGTATGAAAAATCCCCTTAATATATACAATATGTATATTCAAGCCGGTTGACAATTAAAGTGCGCGCATCGTTATCAATATTAAAAACTATAAAGGTTTTTATTTTGTGTTTTACATTAGTCTCTGCATTAAAATAGTATAATATTTTTTACTATTGTCAAGTTTTATTATTGTTTACACAAACAGCTTTTCAATTCCATTAGGGGACTTACATCCTAATCGTATTTAAATATAGCAATTCATTTATTGACCTTGTAATCGTATCGGTAACAAGATAATGGACCTAAGCCAATAAAAATAGTGACAATTTTATTTATTTTGCATATTTGAACAGATATATTTCAGTCTCAAACGTATCTGTTACTTTATTGTAAGAATAATTTTATAAGTTCTTGTAAATGTGTTGATCCTATATTAAAACTATCTCTTTTTTTCAGCGCCACTTTTGCTGTCCCGCCGCCCAGATCCAACACAACTCCAAGGTGATGAGCCTTTTTAAGGACGAGAACTTTGACTGCGGCAACTTCCTTAATCAGAGGGTGGCCAATGGATACGAGGTGAAGCTCTCCTCCAGACCATGGATGGCTTTGCTCCGTTACCAGCAGTTTGGGGTACCGCGATTCCTCTGCGGCGGAGCCCTCATCTCCGAGCGTAAGTTTCCTCTTCTCAAAAGAGTTTTCTAGATACATTAAATTAAATATTTTACTGTAGGTTACATCCTGACGGCTGCCCACTGTGTTCACGGTCTTCAGAATGATCTGTACGTATAAAAATCACTTACAAAAACGTTTTCACAATTCCATTTATATTATCAACTCTTAGCTATGAGATTCGCCTGGGCGAGCATCGTATCTCCACGGATGAGGACTGTCGCCAGCAGGGACGTAAAAAGAAATGTGCACCGCCAGTTGTAGATGTGGGCATTGAGAAGCATCTGATCCATGAGCACTACGATTCCCGTCACATCATGAATGACATTGCTTTGCTGCGTCTGAATAGAAGTGTTCCATTTCAGAGTAAGTTAAGTCGTTAATAGCAATTATCAGTCATTATTTAAATGATATATAACCAATTAGAGCACATCAAACCCGTTTGCCTGCCCATCACGGATGAGCTGAAGCAGCAGGCGGAGCAGATAAACACCTACTTTGTGACTGGCTGGGGAACCACGGAGAATGGCTCCTCCTCAGATGTGCTGCTCCAGGCGAATGTCCCCCTCCAACCACGATCAGCCTGCTCCCAGGCCTACCGAAGGATGGTGCCCTCCACCCAGCTCTGCGTGGGTGGTGGCGATCTGCAGGATTCCTGCAAGGGCGACTCCGGTGGCCCACTCCAAGCTCCAGCTAATTACTTGGGTGGGTTCGCTCCGAAGATGGTGGAGTTTGGAATCGTAAGCCAGGGCGTGGTCTCCTGCGGGCAGATCAGTCTTCCGGGTCTGTACACCAACGTCGGGGAGTTCGTCCAGTGGATCACGGACACCATGGCCAGCAATGGCCTTTAAGGAGGGCCATCAGTTGTTAGAGTGTATCTTAGTAGTTAGTCCAACCCAAAAAATATATCATACACATATTTGTAAACGCAATTACCGCCTGTGTTCTTATTGGGAGTTCGTTTTGAATAAAATAACACGTTTAAAGGTAAATTTCTAGCTTATCAGACGATTCCTGGAATTTTATCAGACTTTGTTTTTAACCATTTTTATAAGCCTTTTTGAATATACATACATATAATAAACAGGTAGTAATGTCTTTATTATTACAAAATGATTTATTGCCTACAACTATCCAGATTTTCTTCCCTTTCCCACTATTTTCATTTCTCGGGTATGAATCATAAAAACATATTGTTATTCAATGGCTAACGGTTGATTATTAACTAGTCTTAGCACAGACCGGCTAATAAATTGAATATGAACAATCAGAATTACACAATTATATGTATATTTTACTTATGAGTAATACCTCTGAACTTCTTAATTGGTCAAGTAAAATTAGGCACACTGTATGTTGCCTAGGGGGTAAATAGGCTTAAGCTTTTACACTAGAAGTAAAGGTTCTCTATTAATCAATCGAGGTAATCTCTCTAATTTATGAGTTCAATTGAAAAGTACGTCCCTGAAGGGAACTCAGATAGGCTTATTTCAGATTGTTTATAATCGCAGATTAGCTATAAAATACTCAAGTACATAAATACGTATTAAAAGTCAAATCTTTAAAGGCAAGATTTTCCGACCTAACCTAAGTGACTGGTACTCTAAACTTAGCAAGTTTTTTTTAGCAAACCGCAATTTTTGGGGGGTTTTTGCACGCATCTTACCCCCGATGCTGGGAATTTCTGTTCTGGAAATTCCATGATACACATCATATCCATATCCAAAGAACGAGTTTTGATCCAACGATCAGACAGGCGTCGACTTGCAGCATGGGCGTAGCCAGGTGAATGGGGAATTGGAGAGCATACTAATTGAGAAAAAAAGTACCGCTTTTAATGGGTGTTTAGCCCACCTGTTGAACTCCAGTGACGCGTGCCAGTCCCCGCGACTCTCTAGCTGATTGCCAGTCGGCGGACGAGGGAATCGGGGGCAGAGGAGGATATAGACTTTGTTTTATTGAGACATGAGAGCCGGCTGAGAACGAAAAAGCGCCCGATTCACTGTGGGGTTTCCTGGAATTTAATCGCTTTTCCCACGCTCCACGCTTCAAGCTCCACGCTCTAAGCTCCGCGATCGCTTTTCGCTTTTCGCTTGATCGGTGTTAGTAATGAAATAGATTATGTTTCGGTACTATAACCCTAGGTACTTTAGATATTCTGAAGAGTCTTTAATGCTTTGTTTTTATGTACATACGTTATATTGAGAGAATTGAAAAAGCATATGGTATAAACATATAAAAAACTCATCAATTGTTAAGCCAATGTGTAATATGTTTATTATAGTAATAAATGATAAATGATGAAGATTTTTAAAAATAATTTTTTAACTGGTAAAGTTGTTGAGTAAACTGAACTACGTAAAGCTCACCACAGAGTAAAAATGAAACATGTTATTAAATGTTTACCAGTTAAGCGCTGCTGGTAGTGATGATCACTGATTATAGTACAGGCCTACGGGATCCGACAACACTTGCTTGATACGGTAGTACGAGACTAGTACCTGACACTACATTCTCGATCCGCGTAAGCGTGCTCTTATGGCAGCGGCTCAAAACCTGTATCGGCGATCTGGGGTTGCGCTCAGCTATTGATCATTAATGCTGTCCGGATCGGGGTGGCACTTCCCCGAGCACGCGAGTCAGAGGTACAAAAGCCCGGCACACGTCGACCTGCGGCTCATTCCAAGTTGAACGGTTAAGCGCTCAGGTCGAATAGCAGATCTCAGATCGGGAACAGTATCTCCGAACAGTGGAGCCAGCATCTGGGCTTGAGACAGGTTCCCAACAATAGCAGGAAAACCTCCCTCATCAATTACATCCGATCACTGCTCACAGCAATCAGTCAGGATGGTTCTTATGGCACTTTTAACCTTCGCTTTCATCTTGTGCGCCATGGCACAGCTGGCTCTCAGCCGTAAGTTATTGCCGGGGATTCATTTGAGGAAGGTGGCTACAATAATGTTGACTTGCAGAGAGCAGTTGCGTCACTCCGGTTGGAGCAGCGGGTCAGTGCATCCGTTACCAGGAGTGTCCGTTCGTTCAAAGGATTACTGACATCTACGGCCGTAACATTCCCCAGACCATCTACAGTCAGATACAGCAAATGCAGTGCCAAGGCAGCTCAAATGTAAGTCAGCGACTTAATTATTTAATATTTTGTAACTTGCAAGCATTATGATCATAAATGAAGAAATATATATTTCATATTTCATATATTATCTCTTTAAGTGGGAGTAAAAGCACATTTTATTTAATCCAATTTCCGATAAACAGGGTTTCCATCTTTGCTGCCCTAATGAGGGCACTCCTCAGTCCTCCCGTAAAGCCTCGACGAAGGTCATTCGATCGGAGGGCGGAAATCTGAGCCGATACAGCAGGCAGGGTCTGCAAATCCTAAACGCAGTGACCAACTGCGGCAACAAGGGCAATCCCAAGGTCAGCGGTGGCAAGACAGCCAAGCCCGGAGACTTTCCCTGGGTGGCACTACTCAAGTACAATATCAACAATCCGCGTCCATTCCTCTGTGGAGGCAGCCTCATCAGCGATCGCCACATCCTTACTGCAGCCCACTGCATTGTCGGCCAACCCGAAGTGTAAGTATCCCTTAAATTACTACTATTAAATTTCCAAGAGTTTTATTTAAACTTTCTTTTGATTAATTGCAATAAATAACTCATATATGAGCCAAAGATTAGATACGATAATTATTTCCATTTGGCAAGTTTTTGCGCCTTACTTTTCACTTGATGACTAATTTTTTCGGAAACTTGTCTGTGTTGCAGAATTGCTGTTCGACTGGGTGAGCACGATCTGGAGTCGGAGGAGGACTGCCACTACCTGGGTGGCATCAACCGCGTCTGCCTGCCGCCGTACGAGGAGTTCGGCATCGAGAAGATTCACGTGCACCCCAGCTACGTCCATGGGCAGATCAGCTACGATATAGCCGTCATCAAGTTGGACCGAGTGGTCAAGGAGAAATCTCACATCAAGCCCGTCTGCTTGCCCATCGATCAGAAGTCCCAGGAGCTGGACTTCGACCAGAGTTTCTTCATCGCCGGATGGGGCGGAACCGACAAGGCGGTGGCTGCCACCAAACTTCAGCAGGCCCTGATCACACGAAAGAATCTGAACGAGTGCCGCAAGTTCTACAACAAAGATGACGTGACGGACAACCACATTTGCGCCACGGGAACCGGAATCAAGCACACCTGCCAGGGGGATTCCGGGGGTCCCGTCTTCTTCAAGCACCGGTTCAAGAACACCTACCGAGTGGTTCAGTATGGCGTGGTCTCCTTCGGCGGTAGCCGATGTGGCCGGGCCGAGAATCAGCCGGGAGTTTTCTCCAGCGTCATCGACATGTTGCCCTGGATCACTCAGAACCTGGAGTAGAATATCGACACCTGATGAAATTGCCTCAGACGACATCACCTTATTTATATACGCAGTCCTAACATCACTTGCCTTAGTCTTTCCATATGGTATATATATATTTATTAAATACATTTTATAAGCAGCAGTAATCAGATTGAATTTGTTATTTTGGAGGGATAAGAGGAAATTATTATTTAAATATTTCTTTTTCAAAAGTAAAAGTAAAGGAAGCAGTACCTTAGCTTCAGATTTCATCATAAATGCAATCGATTATATCTGAAATGCCTCTGAGCTTAGAGCCACGTATCTTTCGCAATCGCAGATCATTCGATATAAACGTGATTCCGGAACTACAAAATCTTACTGGCATTACACTAAACTCTTCCAAGATTGCTTTAAATTGTGATCTCTGATCAAAAGGTTTAATTCAAAGCTCTGAGTCACCTGCAAAGGTATGCTATAATTTGCGGTTAGCTATTGCATATATTGTCCATATAATTTATTTGTCCAGAATCTGGATAGAAAGTTAGATTTGCCACTATATGATTAGTACCATGCTATAGCGGATTCTGACGTATTTTTCAAATTTAACAATGTGAATCACTGACCTATCCACTTTATTAGGCAACAATGACTTTTGTTTTATGGGATTTCGATTTAATAAATCAACAGTCGCGTCTGCTTCATGGTACATTTAACATTGAACTAAATCCCAGCCAATAAAACAAAGTAGTTAAAATAATGTGGGCCAACCGGGAACAATGGAAAGATGGCTATCATAAGGAAATGGAAGGGGCCTATTGTTATTGAATCCCAACTGCCGAAAAGGACATGAAAGCAAAGACTGGTCAAACAGTTCGGTTTATTCCGCTGGATAGTTCACAATGCACTGCAGCCGACTCCAGGGTTTTTTATTAAAGATGTAAGGTATTTTTTTATAAGCATATTTCTACTATAAAAAAATTTTCATTCAGGATTCTATACTTGGTAACCTTTTACCACACGCTGCCCTTCTTTGCAAGTGTCTCCATGTCATTGCTGCATAGCTATTTTTCCTCGTCGGTCTCTTTCAATTTGGATACCATTTAGTAAGTATAAGAATAATAAATGTTCTCTCGGAAAACTTAACTTTCTATTTATACTGAATAGCTTAAACTGGAACTCCACTTTTCCGGCCATTACTGTATGCGAGATATATAACGCAGAAAGGATTTGGGATCTGAGTGACTCACATTTTGGCGTGGAGCATGACATGCACGTCGATGATTTCATCTCAGAAATCGTATTTTACCGTGGTGTTTGCAGCAGCTGCGAGGATTGCTCCAGGCTTAAATGTCCTGCCAATTTTACCCTGCTAGTGGATGTGGTGGGTTGGTCATACATATATTTATATCCAATTGATAGGCATTTGACTATTGCATCCTTGCAGTTCCGCACCAAATGCCACCAGTTGCTGGATAACTGCACCTACCTAAACGAACTATTCGACTGCTGTGATCAGTTTCTGCCATTGCCCACGGAATACGGTTTGTGTTACTCCTTCAACTCGCACCAGGCCCGCAAGGTGTCCCACGTGCAGTTCACCAATAACAGGATGACGGGACCGGGCCGTCTCAATTTCCATGCCGCCGCCGACATTCAGTTGTACGTGCATGCCCCGATTGATGTGCCCTATCAGTTTTCGGAGGGCATGATCCGGGAAACGGTGTTGCTAGGCCACTACAAGGAGCTGATCCTCAACGTAATCGAGGTGCACAACGACGAGAGTGTCCACGACCTGAGTTTGGATCAGCGGCGATGTCGCTATGGCCACGAGCACGTCGAGGAACGGCAGGGCATCTACGAGTTCTACAGCTACTCCGGATGCGTGGTTGAGTGCACAGTTCTGCTTCAGCTGGAAAACTGCAACTGCACCAGCCATTTCATGGCCCTTCCCGGCCAGAATACCCTGCCCGCCTGCGACTACCGCGGTCTCATCTGCCTCACTCGCATTCGCGACAAGATCATGTCGGAGCGTAAGTCCTGCGAGTGCATGAGCTCCTGCGAGGAGCCGGAGTACAACATCATCTACAACTCGGAGGATGAGTAAGTCCATGTACAACATTTCCCTACATAACAAGTACTAAATAAATGTAACTGCCTTCAGGGATGATGAGGGCTCGGATGATGTTTCGAAAATAGAAGTGGCTCTGGTTGAACTTCCAACTCAACGCTACGTTCGTCGGGTCACAAAAACAATTTTGGATTTCTTAAGTAAATCTATTCTTCAATCCCTTTAAAAGCATCTAGGTTCTAAAACCAAAACTTTGTCTTTTAGTTTCCCTCGGAGGTCTAGTTGGCCTGTTCTTCAACACATCCGCTTTGCGAATAGTGGAGGCTATCGTTATCTGTTTGCGATATAGAAAAACCATGGTGAATTGGGTTAAACGTATTTGGATTGGCACGGTGAAATATTTACAGATCTTAGACCAGTCGAATTAAGTCACAATAATATCATAACAATTAAACTATAGTTGTCTTTCAATAGGGAGTATCATGGGCAAGGGGCTGCACCGGATGTGTGGATACGTGGAAGGCGAAGCTCAACTCCGTGCCATTTTCTGCGCCACATAGGCGGGATTTTCCGGGGAGCTGTGCCAAGTGGGCGGCGTTATAAAATGCAGAAGAGTTTGAAGATAGTCCGGCAAGTACATGAAGCTGGAGAACAGGACCAGAAACAGCATGATCAGGAAGAATCCATCTGGTTAAGAGATAATCCGGATTAGCGATTTGCCTTTGTCTTGGAACTTCGATACTCACTAATCAACTTCCTTTCCCAGGGCTCCAGCATATTGATGCACGTCACCAGTTCATATTGCCGGTAGGCGTGGCTGGCCAAGTTCTTTAAATTTAGCATTTTTCGGTGACTAAAGTCCAAAAAGTTCCAGTCGAAGTAAATGAAGTACAAGAAATTGTAAACAAAACAACATATGTTACACAGAGTGTCAATAGCTGGTTGGCATAGAACTAAAGCAATTCACAGTATCGTTTGCTATCGCGTAATTATGTTATATCAATAAGCTTTTGTCAATGGAAACTTAACATTTTTGTTAAGTCACATGGCGCGTTTGTTTTGATTATTTTTCGTGCATTTTAAAGAAGTGTTTTAAATGAAATTAAGTTGTTTCCAAAACTTTTAATTATAGGCAAGAAGGCAATGGAGAGCCCTTCTGTTTCCGGCAAAAGCAATAATTTATTTAATAATTCTTGCTGGGACATCTTACAAAGTGCAAATAATAAAATCCTCACGGGAAACAAAGCGCTGGATAAACATTTTGGAGGGGGAATATCCATGGGACAAATTGTTGAGCTAATTGGCAATTCAGGCACAGGAAAAACACAAATGTGGTAAGTTCGACAGGTAATTGACAATAAAAGGAATGAAAATAGAATATTTAACTCCAGTTTACAACTATGTTTAAACGTGCAAATACCCAAGGCTGCTGGTGGCTTAGAAGGAAGTGCTCTATTTATTGATTCCCGACAGGATTTTCATCCTGATAGATTGCTTGGTAAGCTAATCGGAACCACTATTTAACTTCTAATAATTAAACTTATTACAGGACTCGCGCAAGAACTGGAACAACAATATCAGCATAAGTCACCAGAATTTACAGCGCTTAAAATGCTGAAAAATGTTTACCATGTCAAGTGTCTCGATGTCGTTCAATTGATGGCCACAGTTTTCAGTTGTCACAGACACCTCGCAGATCATCCAGATGTAATTTGTTTATATTTCTTTTATAGTTTCTATGTGCCGTTTAAGTATATCATTTAAGTCAACTTCCACTTAAAATTTCAACTGTCTCCTTAGATAAAACTGATTGTAATCGACTCACTGGCGTTCTCCCTGCGAATGCTTGAAGACGGCGCCCGGCGATACGAGTTGCTCCTGGAACTTCACGAAAGCATGAGACGTCTGCAACGTCAACACGAATTGGCTGTAAGTCTTTATGAATGATCCACTTCCTTTTGCTTTCATAATCCCGTCTCCTGACAGTGGGTCGTTACCAATGTGCTTACGCATCGTCGCATCAGAAATCGGTTCCAATTGCGTCCCGCCTTGGGGGACCAGCACTCGCACCTGATCAATGAGCGCATCTGGTTTTTGGCCAACTCTGAGCGTTACTTGGGCAAGTCATGGGGAGCAAGAAGATTAATTAAGGAGTCGGACTGAGGGTAGAAAATTAAATTAGCAATTAAGAAAAACACGTACCAAACATTGAATAGCAAGTAGTATTTTTCCAATAGTCAATACATTGTTGCATGGCCAGCGATGAAGAGGAGCAGCAGTGTTAAGGGAAAACAGGATCCTGAGCCGTTTGGCACAGAAAACGAGGCGCACTTGCTAAAAGCTCCTCCGGTCACCTCCACTCCACGAAGACCACGATGCTATCAATGGCGCAGTTCCAGATTGACAGGCGAGCACTGCCTGATTTATGCGCGCGGCGCAGGAATGTGGCAAAGTGTAAAAGTGTTTACACATACGAACGGCGACACCCAAACCAGACTGCTGCTCTCTAGCTCGCAGGCTTTTGATTATACACAGCGCAAAATTAAAGGAGAAAAAAAGTATATGAAAATTACTTTCGAAAGGGGACCCGGAATCGCACTTCGGGATCCCATAACTTTGTCGATTTTGATCCGATTCCAAAGGGGCATACCTCTAAGGATTTGTAATGGGATTACAAAACAATCCGCGTTAAAATTTTTCATTTTGAAGATGGTTGATAATTTGACCCCTGTTCATGTCAGATATTTTTCAATTTGTTGATAGAATTCCTGAGCCCACAACTTTGTCCCTTTTATTCATCAAAATGTTTAATTTGGTGAAGTTTTGCTATAAGATATTTATTTGTTCAACATAAGCCCTACAAGAAGTAAAAACAAGTTTGAAAATTGGACTTACTTGGGCGACATAAGTTGATGCATATTTCTCAGTGCATCCCAGCGGCGAACACGGAGCCTCGGGCAGCAGCTAGTCACGCATATGCAGCGACAACTAATTCAATTTCCACTTGCCAGAAGGAGGCGGCTGTTTAGCCGAGTGTGCACGCCTAATTGGTAATGCGATCGGCTTTATTGAGGCGCTGGATTCGAAGCAGCACTTGTGGCTATAGCTCTGCCCATATAGCTCTGTGTCGCTGGATCCGAATCTGTGGATGTGACTGGGACTGGTGCCTGGTGGCTGCTGCCTGGTGGAGTTGCTGGTGCAGTCACAGGCTATCGCTGTCGCTCAGCGCAAATCCCATTACGTGCGATCCGTTTCGAGCCATAAACATGTAACAGCTGCACACCCCCTCCCAGTTTCCCTCGATTCCACCGATCCCACCGATCCCACCCGATCCTAACCGAGTTTCCTGGCTTCCAGCGGCGCAACTTGTCGCTCGAACTTAATTGCCTCGGTTGCGCTTATGACTTTCGTGTGCAATGCATCCTCATGGTCGACCACATCACCATCCGCATCCACATCTGCAGCATTAGAAAGTAACTCCAGCCGGCGAAAAGCTATGGCTATCAACATCGGGCTCGCATCGTCTTCGTCGTCAACGCTCGCCTGTCGCTGTCGCAGTCTCAAAGTTGCTGGCGCTATTTTCGACACTGCCTGGCCCGCCATAAATTTTCAACTGCCCTGCAATGCACTCAGGTCTCAAAATTAGAAATAGTCTGCTTAAGCCAGCTGCACCTGAAAAACTGTTTAATTTTATGTTTTTTTTTTAGATTTAAAAGCGTTATTTTTCTAAAGAGCGGTTAAATAACGTATGTTTAACTTTAAGAATCCACTAAGTAATAATTTTCTATTCACTATTGACTATTATGTTGAAAATAAAATTCGTTTTAACTTGTTATAACAAATTTGGTCTTAGTTATTTAAGAAGTTGTTAACTTTTCTTTTTGTGTGGATAATTTAGCAAGCTGGCAAGTTGAAAGTCCATTTTCCATTTCGTACGGGTTTCAATTAAAACAAAAAGCAAAAAGCCAACAAACATTCCGTTGCCGAGCATGGCCTGGCAATTTGGCCACGACCTCGTGCACCGACAAAGTTCAGGCCCCGAGTGGCTAATTCCGCAACACCGCGACCGCCCCGATGGCAGCACCCGATAGCGAGAACCACAAACTGCACAAAGTCGGGCTCCAGGAGGAGCCACTCTGGCCGTGAGATAATCAAATGTTGGCCAAAAAGGATTACACTCGCCCCAGCCGCCTGCGCCTGGCGTATTGTTCTGAGAAATTGTTATTAATTGAGTTGTACGCTGCACTTGGCAAGCTTCGATTTGAAAAGCGTTCTCCTGTTGGTTTTTTTTTTTCTGCTGCCCAGTGGGTGGCCCGACAGCATCGGCCATTGACATGGTAAATTGCCCGGCTCTGCTCATTTGCCCAACTTAATTTGGCCTGGCCATCAATAAGCGGAGATCAGAGCCGCGACTTCGTCTCATTTGCATGCCCGTAATTTATGCTCATCAATTAGCTGATTAATTTATTTAGCGTGGAGCGAGAGCGGAGCATCATGCTCAAAATGCTTGTCTAATTAGACAAATGCGCTACATTAATGTCGCCTCTGACATTTATAAAGCGTGGTTCTGCCGCAAATCGGTGATTTCTCACTGCTTTTGGTTCCTCTTTCATTTTTAGGTGGCTTAGGGGGTTTGGTGAGGATCGATTAATGGCTTCCTAAATGGGGTTAAATTGCCAGTGGGATTAACTCCTAATGCTTTGGCATTCAAATCGAATTATTCATTTTAATTTAATTTTTCGGATTTAAAATGTTTAAGGAAGTACTATTTTCCTCCTTAGACTTTCTCTGTGACGTTTCCCAGGTCTATTAACCAATCAATTCCCCACCTAAATTAGTTTATAATGTTGCTTATAAATGCCACTTGTCCACCAAGACACGGATGTGCCTGGATCTTGATCCAGTCGCAGTGCAACGTGTTTCTCAGCGGCAATCTTCGGTTGTCGCTGGCGCAGGGGAAATGAAAATATTTTAATTAAAACACAAACTAAACGTTTACTGCTGCCGATGTTATCCGCAGCATTTCATACAAATAACAACGACAAGTCGAGCCTGGCTACCAGTCGTTCGGTTCGGCTCCTCCAGGAGCTCTGTGTTGTTGTTGCTGTTGCTATTGCTGCTGCTGCTGCTGCGTGCAACAAATACGGCAAATGTTGCATGTAACAGCAGCAACATGTGTCGCACAGCGCCTATTTGAATATATATCAAATCAGTTTCAGATAATTTTCTATAACAGCTCGACACACAGGCAAATGGACGAAACATTTGTACGAGTTCGTTGTCTAAGTCTTTCGTTTTGCGAGCCATGTTGCTGTTGCTGTTGCTTTTGCTGCTGCTGCAGTTGCAGTTGCTCCTGCCGTTGCGGGCTGCGAGTGCATATTTTACGCGCCGCATTGTTGCAAACGGATTGGGTCTCGAAATTAAGTTGTTTTGCATAAAAGCGCCATAAAAAGGCGCAGCCGCGGCAGAGGCAGCAATTGTGATTAGAACGACACGACAGGCACGACATGCGACATATGAGACGCTGCAGTTGCTGTTGCTGCTGCCGCTGTTTTTACTGCTGCTGCTGCTGTTGCAGTGGCAGTTGCCTCTGCGGCCTTACATATATGGCCAGCAATTGTCGGTCGAAAATTGGCGGCTCAACACGAGCGACGTATGTCATCAAATGGCACTGCCATTAGCGATCGCCAAAGAGATCCTCGAGCTTGGAGCTTCGCGTCGGTGGCAGCTCCCTGCGGCCAGTAGGCAAATGCTAGGCCGCAGCTCCTGATGCCCCTCGCAGCGGCAAACTATTATCAATTTAAGTTGGCTAATTGGTTTCAAATTTATGGACCTGTATTTGATATTTATGTCGTCTACGAGAGCTGTGTGCCTCGCAATTTCGCCTGTCTGCCGGCCAAGTGGCCCTGGCTATATGGCCGATCCTATCCGAAGCGAACCAAGCCAAGCCGATCCGACCGTCCGTCGCGTAGCGTCGCTGCCTTGGCATGCTGCAAACAACGTAATTGGCTTTCAATTTGCTGCAAATTGTTGCAACAGCCACGACAACGGCGCAAAGAGCAACCGAGAAACATATTTAGATTATAGACGGATAAAGTTTATGTACGTTCGCTGGTTCTGTTCTGTTCTCTTCTCTTCTCCTCTGGCCGGGCAACTTTAGCTCGGGGCCTGGCCCGCTGGTCTGCTGGTCCGTTTCCTCTGACGACCGACCTCCTTCCACCATAATTCCAATGAGTTATATGCTCATCATGTGCGCTCCTTGGCCCTTCAAAGTTGAAAACGTATCGCGCGTTAATTAAAAAACAGCAACAACCACCGAAACATCAGGCTGCAAAAATAAAACAGAACAGAAAAAAGCGCCAAAAATGCCGCTAAAATTTCGCTCGGCCGCAGCGGTTCAAAAAGGGCGGCTACCAAAGTCCCAGGCCTTGGATAGCACTGTTCAATAACTAAATAAAACACTTGGGCCGCAGTACACCGAAACAAATTTTGAGAGGTTTTTACAGTGATTGTAAATGCTTTCAATGATTGGGTTTTATAAAAGTTTCATAAAAGGATTTTATGCAAAATGTTACTAAATTCAGTAAGTTAAATTTACTATAATATCTTTAGAGGATTAAATGAACTTATGTTTTTTTTCTGTGCATAAGCGAATATAAGAGAACGAGAAGCAGTCACAATCAAGCGAAAATTCCTGGCATTTTCTGCTTCATTAACAACACACTCATACACCGAACGCGGCCATTTCGTTTTGTTCGAGCCGAGTTTACCGCTGACGAAATTTACGCACGTTGGGGTAAGCCCCCGCCACCCCCTTTGGGATCCTGGATCCCCGACTCCGGGCCTTGATCATCCGCTGAGCTTAGTTTTGTGTGTCGGCTGGCTCTTTTTGGTATTTTAATTAGAAACCGAACAACGCAAAATGCATTGCTCGCTGGTCGATTTCGATTTCTTTCCTTTTGGCCTTCTGATCTGTTTCGCCAGTTTCTCCGTTTGTGCCCCAATCCGCAATCCTCGGGTCCTGTCCTCCGATTCGATCCGTTGTAGTGCCCAACTTGCATTTGCTTTTCACATTCAATTAGCGCATATTTCAAATGCGATCGCCGCAATCCCAGTCGAGCATATTTCTGGTCGAACCAGACATGTCCAAATGACAGGAAATGCTTTCGATGGCAAAAAGAAGTCCATAACTGCCATTTACCATTGGGTTTTTTTTCAAGGTTCATTAAAAAAATATGTATTTGAAAACCCAATGACTTTAAAATTACTTCAAGTTTTTTCAGATTTAATACTTACATTTATATCCCCATTCGAATAACAGAGAAAAACGTTTTATTTTATTTTGTCTTTTACTATCTTTATTGATATTGCTTTATTGCTGCTAGATCAAAGTTAAAATAATAAATAAATATTACTACACACGTAGGTATAATACAATACAAAATCGCTTGAATCTTACCCTTTTAGACAACTCTACCTAACTACGATCATATAACTAAATTATTGCGTACAATTGCAAACAACTTTTAAAGTCTAACGCGTTGCGGCTGGGGCTTAGTTTAGTTCTAGGAATCTATCAATCTATAGACAAAATACAATAACGGTAACTGCTAATTTACAGTATTTACAGCTTATGCTTATACACCATAGAGAGCGCGCCGATCCTAGATGAGAACTATATACAGCTTGTGCTAGCCAAGGATTTAATTACTTTTTATTATCATATTTTTAGCTTTAAATGAATGTAAATGCGCGCCTGGGTTACACTAAATATCACACTGTGTAGGATGTTGCTTAGCGAAGAGAAGAGTTCGGAATTACACTACCTAGCTTATACAATATGGGTTGCCACAACGATTTGGATCTGCTGAACACTTTGTCACAAATTCCTTCTTTAGAATTTCAAACTCTTTTATCTCGAGCGACATAGCGTTCGGTGTATTTATACTTATATATATATATATATATACTATTGCTAAACTCAAATCCCATTTAAACTGGTTTCAACTCAAGATAAGATCAGGTATACAAATAAATTTGCCCAAAACTGTGACCGTAAAAAGTTTGATTAACTAGCAAATGCTTTGGATTTATTTGTGCACCCCATCTTACCTTATCTCCGAGTTTGAGCTAGAACAGTTCGACTGGTTTTCGGTTTTCAGCAAAGCCACTTCGTTGTGGGAGCCCCTAAAACTAAATCGATTCCTAATTTATAATACGCTACTAATGCACTTGGAAATCGCGCCCGTGCTGTGGCAATCGGAACTTTGAGCTGGCTGTGGGCGGCTGGTTGGTTTCTGATTGGTTGCTGGCTGGCTGAGATCACGGCTAAACCATCACAGTGGTGGCAAGGACGTCGGAGCCCTCGTCGCCCGAGGTGGGTGGCAGGGACTTGCAGTTGATCGACCGCTTGCCGAAGTCCTTCCGCGGACTGTCCAGCGAGCCCACCGTGTTCTTTCGCATGTCCGAGTTCTGGGTCTTGTGCAGCAGGATCTGGGAGCTGCGCTTGTGCGCCTGCTTCAGTCCCGTGCTGGAGTCCAGTTCCCGCTCGAAGTCGCAGGGCGGGAACAGCGGCTGCGACCGGTGCAGGGCGGAACTACTCGCCGCCGAGGCAGCCAACTCGGGAGCTGGGTTCAAACTCAACTCCATTCCGGTGGCAGCCCGCAGGGAAGTGGTGCTGCCTTTTAAGGGATTCGTATACCTCCGCAGGTTCTCCTCGTTCTGCAGGTTGTTTGACTTCTCCTCCTCGTGTCGCAGTGCATCCAGCGAGGGCGTCAGGTTCATGCCGGAATTGCTGCGATAGGCCATCCGCTGCTTCCAATACAAACTGATGAACACCGAGAATCCCACCAGGACGATAAAGATGCCGCAGAGCACTCCGATCAGCAGTCCCGATCCGCCGGCCACCCGGGCAATTTCCAGTTTGACCTCCACAATGGAGGTCAGGGCAGCCAGCTTGGCGTGCTGCAGCTCCAGTTCCTTGCGCAACTGGATGCCATTCAACTGCCGGGAGCTCAGGAGTTCACCCAACAGACCCACTGCCACCGGCAACTGGGGATCATTCAACTTAGTGGAGGACTGCAAATAAAGAGAGGATAAAATGTTAGATTTGAAAATTCTAGATTTAATTTAATATATTTAGCAACTAATGAAGGTAAGTTTCAGTTGAGATTAATTAAGATTTGAAATTAAAACTTACCACAGTCAGTTCGACGGTGTCATTGGTGCCCGTCTTGAGATCGCAGAGCACCATGAGCATGCCCTGCTCCTGGCCAGCATCGATCGGCAGCTTCTTGACCAACTGGGCAGCCAGGAGAACCCTCACCAGCGAGCAAAGACCCTCCACCGAGGCTCCCTTGCCCACTCGCTCCAGGGCCAAAAGGATGGTCAGTCGGGCGCAGTTCTGCAGGACTTCGGCTTGGTTGGGCCAGCAGCTGGACTTGGCCGGCAGACTGGGAGGAGCAACCCTTCGCGAGGGTTCCAGGGCTCGACAATCTCCGCGGACACTGCAAGGTGCCGAGAGACAGGTTTCGCTCAGTGCCGGAACACACACCTCGTGCTGTTTGCAAACGCCGGACAGATTGGAGGACTTCGAGAGTGGATCCACCTTGTAGCAGTTGGGCAATCCGCACCAGAGATTCGTGCACCTGGAGGTGCCATTTTCGCAGACACAGGCATTGCAGTTCTCGTCGTCGTCGCTTCTTCCGGTCAGAGCGATATCCAGCCAGTTTTGGCTTTGATTCAGGGCAGAATAAGGCGAGATGGTGTTGCTCACATTCAGACAAGCGGACTTGGGATCGGAGAGCACTATAAAAAGAATTGCAACAAAATTTCCAATAAGGTTTATTTTAATATGATTGTGATAAAATATTGCCAACATTTATAAAAGTGAGATGTTTATTGATAATGGTTATCTAACTTACAAATCTCGCATCGCAATCCATGACGACCTGGTGGGCAGACACAGCTGTATCCGCCGATGCCGTCGATGCAGGTGGCTCCTCCTTGGCAGGGTTGCGGTGAGCACTCGTTCACATTGATGCGGCAGTCGGGACCGGAGAATCCCTGGGCGCAGACGCAGCGGAACCAGCCCGCTCCCGACTCGCAGGTGCCGCCATTGTGGCACGGCTGGCCGCGGCACTGGTCAATGGCCTCGGCGCAGAAAAGACCCGTCCAACCGGGCGCACAGCGGCAGTGCGGCTGCAGATCCTTGTCCGCCGCACCGGGCATGCAGGTGCCACCATTCTGGCACTGGCCGGCATAGCAACTTGTGGCCCGCTCCGAGCAGCGTTTACCTGCAGAGAGAAAAAATAAAATAAAATAAATTGTTGTACTAAACATTACCGAAAAAAATGTTTTAAAAACGAAAGACTTAGGACACGAACTTCCAAAAACTTATTTTTACGATTCGGAGACTTTCGCTGAGACCATATTAGCTTAATATTGAAATAATATTTTTAAATAAACTTTTAAATTACATTACAACATTAAACTTTATTAAAAAAAATCTTTTCTTGCCAAAAACCACTTCCCAGAAACAAAAGACTTAGGCAACAAACTTATTGAAAGTGTGGGAGTTTTCAAATCCGCAGAGAGAGGATTGCCATGACCGTTGGCTTGGCTTGAACTAATTGAAAAGTAAAAGTGTGCCGACATAGATCGATGTGGCTCTGTCTGTATCGCAGATACTGTATCTAAACTGCCGGTCGAATCTATTTTCATTTTCTGTAACTGTGTCTGTGACAAAAAAGCGAAACGCGTGAAATATGCAAATCGCAAATTAAAAACAAACATAAATCATGGCAAAGGTTCGGCCTAGCTGCGGTGGGCCCCCCGGCGGTGCTCGAGCTGCCACATGTGGCAAATACATTCGCCGGCTTCGATGACTGCGACTAACGCGCAGATACTACTTTTTTTAAAGCTTCGCGGCTCAGCCGCATTCGCTTCAATTTGCGGCCGTAATGACTGCCGACTTTCAATGTTCAAATAAATGCGACCGACTCGACTTGATCATGTGTGTGTGTATGTATGTGTGTATGTGTGTGAGAGCGTAGCGCTCTTAACGTGGCCAACACTCGTCTCGCGCCCATTTAAAGCCCCCAAGCGTTGATAATGCGCCAGTCAGTCAGTCGGCTTACAGCAGGTTTTTTTTATGCCCTCTCGAAAGGAGCAGTGGAAACTATTTGGCGAGGTTGTTAGTGGTAATCGGTTGGGTTGAAATACTTCTTGTTTACTAACTTATGCTTTTAAGAAAGTAGTTGAGCTGGTAAAAATAAACACTTACGATAAAAATTATTATTTAAAAATGTTTAATGTATTAAAGCCAAGTTCTCTTTTAGGGATAAGACCAGCTGTTATTAAGCTGATATTGATCAATTTAAAAAAGCCTTTCGATCGCATGTTTTTATAGTTTCTTTTACTTTTATGAATGCTTGTATTTTAAAGACCACTTTCGCTAATGTCCACTAACAACCAGCCTTTCCCAAGGGTATTTGGCCTGCGGCTTAACACTTTTCTTGCTGCCTGCACTTGTTGCAACGCTTTGACGTTCACTTTGACGGTTTGGCCGTTTAAAGCGCACCCGTCTCAACCCGTCTTAGCTCGTCTCAGTTCAGCTGAGCCCATCTCAACTCATCCCGATTCGGATCCCGATCCCGATCCCGACGCGACTCACCTGTCCAGCCAGACATGCACTCGCATGTAAAGTCGCCGTCGCCGTCAAGGCAAATTCCCCCATTTCGACAAGGATTCGGCGAGCATTCGTTGAGATCTGCGGAAAGTTAATGAGTTCGCCGTCTCGTCTCTGGCTTTGTGGATCGGGATTACTCACTGTGCTCGCAAAAGGTGCCGGTGTGGCCCACATGGCACTTGCAGAAGGTGCCCACGTCGCTCATCTCGCAGCTGCCGTGTCCGCTGCAGGGCAATCCGCTCGGCTTGCCCATCTTCCTCGCCGTTGTCGCCGAAGTGGTTGTTGTCGTCGTCGTTGTCGCCGCTGTTGCGAGGCTCACGTTGGCGAAGCAGCCCTCTGTTGGATTGGGGGGACATGATTAGGCTTATTACTGCAGGGCTACACTTCAAAAAGGGGTTTTTAATGAGCAAAGTAAGGAAAATATGAATCTAAATATTACGTTTCCTAAAACGTAGTGTCTAACTAAACTAGAGGAAATATTTATTATCAAACTAAAGAAGTAGAAAATGTTTTTCATAAAAAAACTAATATTTTTTCCAAATGCCACAAATATTTCGACATATCCTAAACTGTTTTTCAAGTGTAACAGAGAAATCTCTTCTCTTGAAAGACGACAAAAAGCTGGCAATCTGCGATTGATGAGCTTAATGATGTCTTCATCGGAGCGAGATCGGTTCCCATGGCATCTCGGAGGTCTTGGCTATTTTTACTCACCGTTGCAAGGCGGTTGGGAGCAGAGCGGACGCAGTTGCTCGCAGTGTTTGCCAGCCCGATCTGGAGGACAGTGGCAGTAGTATCCTTCGGGTGTGTTCAGGCAGTGACCTTCTAAACACGGGGAAGGAGTGCAGTTCTCCTTGGCCTCCTCGCACAGGGAACCCGAGTATCCCAGCGGGCAGATGCAGTTGAACTTGCCCACCATGTCCACACATTCACCTCCATTTCTGCAGGGGGAAGTGGCGCACTCATCGATGTCCGTCTCGCAATCGCGACCCGTGAATCCTGCGGCACAGGCGCACCTGTAGTCGTTAACCAGATCGATGCAGGTGGCTCCATTCCGGCACTGACCCACACAATCATCTAAGTTTTCAGCACAAGTTAATCCTCCCCAGCCCTCCATGCAAACACAGGCAAAGGATCCCGGCTGATTGCGGCATTCCCTGGCATTTATGCAGGGTCCGATGGCCAGGGAAGTGGATGCCACGGCACTGGTTAAAGCAGCCAGCAGGGCGGAGCTGGTCAGATTGCTGCCAATTATCGCACTGGCAGTCGTGGTCAGCAGGGCATTCGCGGAGACTCCGGCGGAGTGGGGCGCCTCGCACTCATTCACGTCCACCTGGCAGACATCGCCATGCCACTCCGGCGGACACTCGCAGCGAAAGCCGCCGATTAGATCGACGCAAGTGCCACCATGTTCGCAGGGACCTCCGGCGCACTCGTCGATATCTGGAAAGGAATGAGGGGAAATTCAAGCAGATTGTTTAAGTGCCATCAGCAGATAAAGTGCAAGCACTTGGGGAAAATAAATACTTGAAACTGAGAGTCTTAAAATAAGTAAGCAATAGAGAATGCTTTTGCAAAAAATGATTTAAATTTTAAAACTTTAAAATAAGAAAGAAAATGTTAACAAAGTTTACGATTAGGTTCTCTTTTGAAATACTAATCTTAGTTTTCAGTGTTCAGCACAAGTTGATTAATTATAATTAAATGTTGACACAAGCCCACATTTTCTCTCCGTGATTGTGTTGATTTTGCTGTAGAGTTCTCGAGCAGCAGAAGCTTGAGCAGGTGGCTCTTAGCCCGAGCCCAAGTCATTGAACTGACTTGCGGATGGACTGGGGCTTCGGTGTATTCAGCTTCAGCCTGCGTGCCTGGCTTATCGGTTGCCTGAAATCTTCAGGAGAAGACGCTTCCTTCTCCTTCCCCATTTGTTTTTTTTAACAGCAGCACGCAACTCATTTGTTTGTTTTTCGGAGGGTCTGATAAAAAGGGCAACCCAAAATAAGTTTCTGACCCTTGGCTGGCTATTAGCGGCAAATAGGGTCAGATTGCCGATCAGCAGCGGTTTGGGAAACATTTAACTTAATTAAGCTTTTATGAAAGTTCATTTTGGAATGTGCAATTCTTTCCCACGAAATCGACATATTATTTCGCTAACGAAACGTAGATAATTTTTAGTTCCTTTTTAATAGCAATTTAAAAATTCCACTAGTGTCAATGATTCCTGTACTGAAGCCATTAAGACTTCAATAAGCTATGTACGGCTCTCGGCAGTAATTGAAGGCCCTTAAATGGCAATCAAGTTTTCGAGAAGCAAAGCAAATGCAAATCCTTCAACGCCGACTCATTCGTTTTGGGAATGGCAACTCAATTAGCAGACGGCTTGTTGCATTGGCCGGCAAATAGTTTCTGGTGAATGTGTCGGTCGTGCTCCAATTGGAATGCAAAGCCGAAGCCGAAGCAAACCGAATTCGCCAGACCACCGTGCCAACAAACAATCACAACAATAAGCCAAGCCAATGCCGGCAACAATAACAATAACAATAACAATAACAGCCTGTGCGTGCTACGTTTCATTTCATTTCATTTCGCTACAGTCAAATGCGTGTGTGCTCAATTGCATGATCGAGCGGCAACATCGCCGCACAACGGCAACACCAACGAACAACATCAGGAACCACCAACTGGCCAACCTACCAACCAACCAACCAATTTGGCCAACTGGCCGGGCCAGGCCGAAACCAAAAAATCTGAGCTGTGGCTAATCGCGTGCTGTGGAATAAAATTAAATCAAAACTCACTTATTTCGCATGTCGGTCCCGTCCATCCGGCCGCACAGCCGCAGGTGAAGTCGGCCAGTTGCTGCTGCAGGGCTTCCAGGCGGAGTGCCAGTGCCGATCCCGGGGAGCTGCTGTCATTCAGCGGCTGCCCCTCCGGACGCAGCTGATCCAGGCTGCGCATCGAGTTGCGACGGGCCATCGGTCTGCCCATGGAACTCCTGCCGAACGCTGGCCGGTACACTGTTGTTCTCGAGGCATTGTTTCCCTAAAAAGAGTTCGGATACAATCTTTAGAATATGTTACGAAACCTATAAAAAATCTACCTAAGTTTAAATGAATATATGTTTTATTTTAAGTGAACATTAGCTAGGCAAAAACTGTAAATTCAAATGGTTTCTAACAGGGAATTAAATTCTCCAAAGCAATATCTATTATTATTTACCACGCTTATAATACATTTGGATTTTCTTTTGTTTTTGAATATATTTTAGATTACCAATTTTCTGTTATTTATTTTTTCAGTGCCGCTTAGATGAGTTCAAGATGAAGGCCCTTGCGTATTAAATTATTTTATGGCACCGCGAAGAAGTGCATATATGTAGTAAATTGCGGACTTACCTTGAGGGTGCATGTGCCGCCGTTGCGGCAGGGCCGTGTGGCACACGGGTGTTCGACGATCTCGCACTGCTCGCCGGAGAGTCCCTCGGCACATGTGCAGCGGTACTTGTCCGGAGCGGTATTCTCGCAGGTGCCGCCGTGCCTGCAGGGTTCATGGGTGCCGCAGTAATTTAAATCTGTTCGGAGCAGATCGAAACTATGAAATATGTGTGTGGATGTGGATGCACCAGTGCATGCATCGATATTATCGATGATACGCTGTTCCCACTTTATATCCCATTCCCCATCGGATTTGCGGTGGTAATTGCTTGGTCACTTACCTTGATCGCACAGTATGCCACCCCAGTTGGTGTCGCAGACGCATTTCCAGGCGCTGCCGTTGCAGGAACCGTGCTTGCAACCTGGATAGACCATGCACTCGTTGCACAGCGGACCCCTCCAGCCCGGTCTGCATCTGTGGATTAAATCGGAGATGATATGAGCCCATATTACATATGGAGAAGTGCAACGCTGATTGCTAAATGAAGCATAGAGGACCCTCAACGAAAGGTTAGCTCAAAGTTGAAGGACTCGGCAGCTTGGGAAAAGAGTTTCCCCATGAAAAAGTGTAGCACTGATTGCAAAATGGGGCAGCCAAGACCTTGGATTCATTCGAATCTGATCTGATTCAGATTTGCATCTTGGGGAAACCCAATACTTTGGAGTAGCTTTGATTACAAAATGGAGCGTAAAAGACCTTTGCAAAAGGTGAGCTTTTAGCCAAGTAATACAAGTATATGATAGCCTACAGATGTTATCTGCAGCCTGGGAAAAATAAATGTAACTAATAATTATGGGACTCACTCGCACCTGCTTTACGTAAATGATGCTTGATAAATGCAGTGAGAATTGTTAAATCCTACTTCTTTGGCCCACAAAATGCCAAGGAATACAATGGGAAAACACTCCCCCATTATTCATGCGGCTCTGGTGTTTCCTTACATTTCAATTTGGCCTGGGAACGCATTTGGCTCTGGCCAACCACCGAATTGGGTCACTCTGAACTTTGGCCTTGATGCATCAAATGCTAAAGTGGCAGTGCAGCCAGTCGGCCACTTCGGCAATTGCCGTTCCTGCTCCAGCTTGGGGCTACAAACTAAAAAAAAAAAAAAACTGTGATTTTATCGGCGCAACACGCCAAAGTGCAGCGGGATCAAAGTTAGCCAGCCAGGGCATCGGGCATCGGGTATTGAGTATCCAGTATCGAGTTATCGCCCGGCGAGGTGCTAACTCTACAAGCTCCGGGCATCACGTCATGCCCGCCGATAGTCGACATCGCCGTTCGATGTCGGTAATTTATGATTTCATTAAAACGGCAGCCTGTCGTTATCTGGCTGCGAATCTAAAGGCTCCAGCTCCAGCTCTGGCTCTAACTTTGTTTGTGGCTGGGATCTTCTGGCCAACACAGCGGACAACAAATCGCAAATGGGCCAGCAACGTGCAAACAGCAAAAGTAATTTTTCTTCTGGCTTATAATTGTTGCGGCGGAGCGGAAATCTGCTGACTTTTGATGTTTTCTAGGCCACACTAATTATTGCTATTTAGAACCAGGACGAGAGGAGCTGCTCGGGATGGACTGGCGGTCGGCGGATGGCTGACGGAGCATCATGATGCAGTCGAGAAATGCAATCATGGCCGCCGGCTCACGTATTCTGTGTTACGCTCGAACATTAACAACGGCAACAACCACTGTAGCCGCTGCAACTGCAACAACTATTGCTGCTGCAACTGCAACAGGAACAACCGAAGCACAAACGTTTTTTCGTGCCGCGCTCTTGGGACTTGGTTATGCAGAGAAACAAAGTTATGGGTTCAATTTTCCCATTTAAATAAAATCAATGTTTACTAACCATGTATAATGGGGAATATAAACATTTTCTTTTTAAGATACAAATGGTGGAAATATATGTAGTTTTGAATTTATAAATAAACCAAACCAATCCAAAACCATCTTCTATTTTTTCCCAGTGTTTGCAAAGCTAAAACTCTTGCTGGGCCCGTCGCTCCATGTTGCCATCGTCTGTGCATGACCGCTCCAAAGGGGCGGACTGAAAATACTACCCGAGAAAAAGGAGATCGGGGTAATGGAGGAGTTCCCGGCCCGATCAGCATTTGGCCATCGTGCGGGCGTTTGATTAGCCAGCTCTCGGGCCGCGAATCGCATTGGCACTGGCACTTGATTGCAGATTATATGGCTGGTTACAACTTTATAGCACTCGGGTTATCTCCCAAATGGGCAGTTACCGAGTGCGAACAATTTAATAAGGAATGCGGTCTGATTGGGAAGTAAAGCGATTCGATCAGTGCCAAGAAAGTTGCAGCTCTTTCGTATTCAATTTGACTGCAGTGATGGGAAACATGTTTTTCCTTGAAAAAATTGTGATAGTTTTGAGCTTCTCAAAATACGTTATTGTCCATAACTCAGTCAAATCTCATCCAAATTTACTTCGGTAAACGTTGTTTTTCATTTTTTGACTCATATAAGAGACGTGCATTCAAGGTTTTTTAAAATTTGAAAAAAATTTTTTTTTACAATTTTTGACAATATTAATGATGTTACCCCTAACAAAATTTTCAAAATTAAAAAAAAAAATTTTTTTTCTTAATTTGAAAAATGTTAAAAGCAATTTTATTCTACTAGACGTCAGTGTTCCAAAGTATGTATGCATTTTTGGGGTACTCAAAAAATCCAACAGGTTATTAAAATCAGTGTTGCAATAATTAAACTCCTGGATATTTCCCATCACTGCATCAACCATTGGCTGGATTGGCGCTTTCCTGAGAGAAACGCTACAAACTATTTCACACATTTAGCACCGCAAAAAGATGCGATTGGTATAAAAACCGAAGTCGGTAAAAAGCGCCCCATGTGAGCTATAGAACCCATTTCTTTGCCACCGATCTCGCGCAAAAAGAAAACCACTCTGGGCCATTATAACTGTGCGACTGAGTGAGCCCGCCTGTCAATGGTGAACCGGGCAAGTCGAGGCCAGGGCCATTAAGCCGGCCCCAAAGTTTACTGGCCACATGCAAAAAGTGTCATAATCACATCGTTAAACGGGGTGGCTGGGGGATCGTAATTGCCGAGGTGGATAAAATAGAGGAGCCCGAGGAGAATATAAAAAAAGAAAACAGGTAGGAAGGTAGTGATGCGGTAGTAAGCTACTAAGGTGGTAAGCTGGTAAGGTGGTAAGTCAGTAAAGCTACTTACTCGCACTCCCCGGGACGGTCGCACTTGCCGTGGACGGGGTCGCAGCCGGTCTTGCAGATGGCCTCCTCGCAGTTGACGCCCTGCCAGCCGTTGAGGCAGAGCTTTTGACCCTCGGAGCCGCAGGCGTAGTGACCGAACTGATCGTCCCGCGGACGGCAGAAGGTCGTGCAGGTCGTGTTGTAGTAGGTAACGGCGCATTGCACCCGGACACGGTAGGTGATCCGCGCATTGCGACCGATGTGGTCCAGGGTCTTCCACTCCGGCGACGGCAGTATCACGCCCGAGTATGATGTTTCCTCAATTAACCTCTCCGCATCTGCATTTCGTTCGGGTGGAGTTGGGTTTTTGGGTTTTCCGATTGGAGGCGAGCGCGGCATGACAATTGTTGTGGATTCGTCGTCGTCGGATTCGTTGTTGGTGGCATCAACGTTGGCGTTCCATTGGAGTAGGAGCAGGGTCATGAAAAGGGGGTAAGAGTGGGCAGGAGAATTTAGTCAGTTGTTGGCACCATTTCAGGCGCTTAAGGGTACACTCAGAGAAAATGAATATGAACTAGATGTTTTAGCAACAACTATGTTTTTGATTTAAATACTCAAAATCTCTTGTTTTGCTATAACAAATGGTATTTATTCACTTCATTGTTTTATCATGATTATAGTTATTGAAACTTGATTGAATTTGTATTGCTTTGACTGCAAGACTTTCTCTGAGTGTATCCTCCTGCGTCTCGGTTTGCTAATTAAGCCAAATGCCTGGCTAGCTAACAATAACGAGCAGCGTGCAACAAGCAGCATGCAACTAGCGAATTGCAACCAGCAACCAGCAACTAGCAACTTGCAACAAGGGGCTGTGGCAGGGTGGGTAACGAGCACAAGTCCGCAATTGCCACCGCACTTACCTGGATAGGATGTGTTGTACATATCCAACGCCTGCAGTATCAGCGTAAACGACTTCTGTAATTGAACGTGGAGAGAGGAGGAGAAAGAAGGTGGCATTTAGTTTGGAGCTTTCGACTTTGACTCTGCGCTGACGCTAATGGACAGTTTAATCTCAGGCTGCCCGCCATGCAAATGAAGACAACGCAACGGCCAAAAAAAAAAAAAATGGAAAAGAAAACAAACAACAAACCGAAAGACGAACAAAGCGATCAGACAACAAACAAAGCGAGGCAAAGCAAAGCTAAACACTTTAATTTCACGCAGGAGAAGCGGACTTTCTAAACAGAAACTCTGGCCATGTCCATGTCGCTGTCCATGGCATTGCAATTGGCCAAAACAAAATGCGAAAAGGCAACACAGACACAATTCTCTTTGAATTTTAGATTTGTTTCGTTTGCATACCCTTCCCGAAAGATATTTAAATTAAAATAGAGAGAAAGGTTATGCAAAGCTACATTTTTAATTAAATTTTTTCAAACCCAACAAAAGCACTGATGTTCAAGCCAACAAACATGATTTTGGCACCATTATGAAATGCTGGAAAGTAGTTAATTAACTTCCTAGAGCATCAACAATTTCGACCACCGAAAGCTGGAATTTTCTTTGATTTTTTGCAACTCCTCCTTGGCGGCAAGGGCCTATAAAAATTGAAGATTCGCTGTTTATTGTATTTTCCGAGCCGAGCGGCCGTAGAAGATTTCTCGTTGGGCAGAAAGCAATTAAACGTCGACGATGTCTGGATGCCGCCGCTGGATGCCAGGAAATGCTCATTTAGCAGTGGGAGGCGGTCGCCGAGTCGGTGGAAAATGGGCGGGGAGCGGAAGGGGGATTCCCATGTAATTGCCCTGGCGACGCGACACTAAATCAGTCCAAAGCAGACGTTGGCTAATTGCAGTCGGATCAACATCAGCGACAACAACTTGACACACTTTGCAAATCCATCCATCTATAAATTGGCTCAAATTCGCATCTCCCTTTAATTTCCACACGTCGATGTATCGTTGTCATATGTGGTCGTCATTTGAGTTCTGTTCCGGGCTCGAGCTAAAATCATGATCCGTCTGACGGAAATACGGATATATATGGCGCATGGCAATGCCAGCGGAAGTGCACCAATTGAAAATGGCGATGCGTTTGGTTTTGGATTTCATAGAAAACTAGATGTCAGACAGACACGAGCCAATGGGATGGGGTTCTAAATTAATAAAGATGGTGATGGTGATCTATCAAATTATTAAGGGAATAGTTATATTTTCGGAACACTGAGCAACACAGAACATCAATCAAATCAAGTAGCATTCAACAAGACAATTCTAAAGTCAGTGAATTGGCCACCGAAATGTTTACACAATGTGAAGAACCTTGTCTCCCGCCTAAGCACTTTCATTAATGGAAGCCCAAGACTTTGGTTACCAAAAGTGTTTCATCGCGGACAAATAACTCTTGTGGGGGTAGCAAAATGGAGCAAGAGCCCACGGAGCAAAACACACATTTTATTTGGGCAGTCATTCATTGATCTTGAGCGAAAAGTGGAACAGTTCGGTCCCGGGCCCAAAGAGGCACCACAAATACCACTCGAGATCGCTCAATGGCTGCGCACGCGCACTCCAGATCTTCGGGCCATCGGAGCTGCGAGCTTGGAGCTTGGAAAATATTGTCAAGTGAAATTCGTTTGGGGCTGGCAGGCAGCTCGAATGTTTCAGGTGGATTGTAGATGTTGGATGGTGGATGGATGGGAGAGGGTTTTTAGGAGAAGTCGGTGTTTGACAGTTACATCGAAGGCCCGGCAATGTTATGATGTGTGCTCTTGAGGCCGCGCTTAAGTATTTCCTAAGTCATGTTTATGAGTCTTAACATGCCATTCACTCAATCAGCAGCCGCCGAAGAAGTCATTCAATAAAAAGTGGGACAATTGCGACCATATCGGCAGCTCTTTATACTTGATTTTGTCTTTCGGTTTTTTGAAGATTTCCATGAGTTTGTGAAAGGCTTCTTGAGGGTGCCTGCCTGCCTGACTGACTTACTGACTGACTGTCTGCAGGCGAATATTACGCTGTGTGCTGTATGCAGAATTTGCCGGGTTTCGACTCCAGTCACATGTGAGTTTGGGACCTGGGGAGCCGATACAAAAACAAAAAAGCAAAAAAAAGCACTGGCACTGGCGAAGGCACAAGATTAAAGCGAAACCAAAGCGAAGCGTAACGTATCGCCATCGCCATCGGCCGAGCGACAAGCGCGACAAGGTAATGTTCCCACGAAACAGGTTGTCCGCACTTCAGGCCACGACTTGGCTTTTTGAGGGGGGAGCTGGCGGAGGAGATGGCGGAGGCACAGAACAGGCAACCGGAGCCCCAAGACCCAAGCCCAAAACCCAAGACCAAGACCCAGACTCAGACTAAGACCGAAGCCACAGCCTGGCTCTGACGCATGCCTGCTCCCCCGCCACATCCCACCATCGCCATCGCCATCGTCATCGTTGCCCCTGCCAAATGTAAACGGCGGCGCATGCGCATGCCGACGTCGCTGCCTGCGTCGACGGAGGCAGCGACTGCGACTGCGGTTGCGACTGCGCATTCTGCTGCACTCGAAAAATAATTAATTTAATTTGCGGATCAATTACGAGAATTCTTTCAATCTCAGCCCATAATTTCGGGAAACATTTTAAGGCACATGTAATACTGTAATTAAACGTAAGTTTATGACACTTTAAGACATTGTCCGTTTACTTTATAAAATCGTAATGGAAGAAAATAAGAAGATCATAAATATCATCAAAATATTAAAGTGGCGTAATACTCAAAATAATCCAAAAATTCAATTAATCTTTTTGAAGAAATCTTGTCACATTTATCATGAGCCTTGTTACAAAAATTGTTTATTATATTCAAATACCAAATATACTTTTCATGATTTATGTCACCAAAACATTTTTGTCCAAGTGAGCCAGCGTACCAATCGGAGTCGCATTAGATTGGACAGCGACCTGGCCAAGGCGTGTAATTGTTAGCAAAGTCAGCTCTGAACACCGCCAAAACAGCAGCAAACAACCGCCAGAACAACACCCGTACATAACAACGAAATAAAAAAAACAAAAGCAAAAGTTTAATTTAATTCCGCGACTACACCCAGTCAGGTTACATTTTTACCTTAACCGAGTTAAGCGCAACCATACCAGGCCACGTTTATTTTATGTTTTACTTCTCGGTCCGTGTGTTCAGTATGTTTTTTTTTTATTCCTTACCCGTTTGGCAGTCATAAGCCCGCATTATGCTCACTTAATTAACCGAAAGCCGCTTAGGAGGTGCCCGGCAAAGAAGCATAAAACATGAAACACAATTTTTAATTGCTTTTTTCAGCTACCGCCGAGAGAATCTCCGCAGAGGAACGATGGTGGGCTGGCCAAGGGTTTCTTAGTGATCGTGGTCGAAATGAGTAAGCCGCTTTGGTGCTGGACTCTTACGATTTTCACGCCCAATGAATTTGAGGAACCTTGGCAACCCCCACTGAAATGTTTGGCCACAGGAAGTAAAGTGAAGTGAAGTGAAGAGAATATCTTTGTTATGGAAACGCTCGCATAGAGTAGACTATGCCCCTTTGATTTATATTTTGTCAGAAAAACATATTCTTATCAATCCGGCACGAGCTCGGATCATTCACATTTCTGTTGCCGGCTCGACCTTATCGCCCAGTTCAGCTTGGCTGCTCTCCAGGCGGAACTGAGCTGCCTCCATATGAAGTCGAAAAAAAACAAGCACACAACTACGACGAAAACGAGAGCTCGTGCCAAAAGCGTGCGTCTTACTTGCAGGGGGGAATATGGATGGGCATATGGAATATATGGCTTAAGATCGGCTGGGAACTGCACTTACCGTCCATCGAAAGGTAAAGGGCAGCACAATGGCTCCCACACCCGGATCGCTGAGCACAAAACTGGATCCGCCGAGTATCTTGGTGGTGGCGTTGCCGAACGAACAGCCCGTCGATATGCTGGCTCCCTGCTCCGTGGTCTGGTACTCCTTCAAACACAGCCGGAATGCCGTCGTGCATGGCGAGCAGCCTGAAATTAGAATTCCAGCACGGGTTATCACACTATATACTCATATATTATATAGACATGCAGAGTTCGCTGCCAGAGATTGCATAATTGCCGGGCATCCCAGAAAAAACAAGAGAATTCATTACCACATGCAAAAAATATGCAGAGTGCAAATAAACTGATAGTAGAAAAAATAAAAAGCCTTGACCGCCTAATTCGGTTTCTTAAGATTAAAAGAACATAAAAAGCGGACACGAATTCCAGAAAAAAATATCTGCCGACTTAGAAATTGAGCTGAGACATTCATAAGAGTTTTAAAATAATATTTTTTGATAAACTTTCAAATTGTAATTGAAATTTTTTGTTTACAAAGTCAAGCATTTTATTATATTTTTCAAACCAAAATAGAAAGCTTTTTCTTTAAATTCTTTTAAACAAATGTAAGTTAACTTCCCTTTTGACATTTACCAGAGTTAAACCCTTTTTCACTTTCAACTCGCTCTGCATTTTTATGTTTCAACTTTCTTTGACAAGGGAAACTCCCATAAAAAATCATGCATCTCAGTTGGGGTTTTAATAAACCTTAACTTGGACTTACCTATCGTCTTGGTGGCTCTTAGTTCCGCTGGCATGCCGCAGCAATAGCCGTTGAGTAGATGGCTGTTGGTGTTTGAGATTTCTAATATTTCCAGCTCGAAGTTGCCAGCTGCGGATATCTGTAGTGGAGAACATAAACAAAATTATCAAAAGTGCCAGTACATCATCGCATCGAAGACAAGCGCCCAGATCTCAAATCGTTCAAATCAATCATGACCCTTAACGAAGGCCCAAAAAAAAAAAAACAGAGTGAATCCCAATGGTAGTGCTGTTCCCCTCGATCCCCCCAACAGTTTACATTCCAACTTCCAAATCGAATAATATGCTCAACACTTTATGGATCCGATCGGATCGACTGTGATCCCAGCTCGTTCGCTGGTTGTAAAAGCTAATAAGCCACCTAGGGCGCTCTGATTGGGCTGCGGTAGAGGTTTTAATTAAAAACAAAAATAGATAGATCGGTACAAGATACAAGATACAAGAGGAGGAAAATCACAAGACCCCTGAGTCTGGCCCCGTAAAAGTGGTAGGCAAATGAAAGGAGCTTGATAAATCTGGCAGCAAATGAAACACGAAAATAATGAGAAATATTTCCCCCACAAAGCGGCTTAACTGTTCGGTTCGGCTCACTTAATCAAACGAGATATCCAGCAGTTTGTATAATTTAGAATGCCTTTGTGAGCCAGCTGGAATCCGTGGCAGAATCCGTAGCCCCGAGTGGCCACAAATCACGGGCCCATCGATAGGAGCATTTGCCATAAAATTAATAACACATTAGATCGCCGTTCTCTCTCTCTCTCTCTGCTTGCAAAACGCCTCTGACAAATGGCGCATAAAGTTTAACTATTCTCCGGCAAATCGCTTATCATATTTTAGCCAAGGAGCTCTTGCATCTGGAAGCTGCAACCTGGCCATCAACTTTGTATTTTAGGGTTCATTACCGGGCGGCGGATGGGTTCTGCTTCGCGGAAAATATGCTAATGAAAACTCCTGGCTGTCCGGCCGTCCAGCGACTCCTGTTTTTATGGTTTCATATTTCAGTGAATTTATTGTCATGGGCCTTGGTAGCTGGCAGTGTTGATAAGTTTATTAGAAATAAATTGCAATTTGGCCGCGGGATCTTGGCTAACGGCACCGGCCAGTTGAGAGTCACCTGCAGCTGCAGTTTGAGCCACGAAAAAAACACAATATCGAGGCCGACAAAAACCAAACTTCAGCCGAGAGACGAGAGCCGAAGCCACATGCATTGTTGATCATGCCATAGATCAATCAAATGCAAGTCCCCCCGATCCCCTCTCCATTCTTGGCCAGTTTCTGTTCGGTTTCTCTTGGCGTTTTCTCGAGATTTCCTTTTGTTTGGGACTTCGACTTCAACTCCGACTGGGACCTCAAACTGATTGGATTCTTGGTCGTCGATCGGAAGATTCAACTGAGAACCGGTTCGGCTGCTTACTATTTATTTATCACATTTCTTCGGGCAGTGCTACTCTTCACGGGCAGGTGCATCCGCTAATATTCCGGACAAACTTTGACGTAATCAATTCGATTAGATAAACCGCCGGAGATGCTTAAGGAATTAGTGCTGCGGCGCCACATGTAAACGGGGAATGAAGCGGGCTTAATGAAGCCGACACACGACGTTAAAGTGAAATTAAATTTTAATTAAGCCTGCAGTTGGCAGCGAAACAAAACGAAACCTGGCCAGTGGCCATTAAACGCTGATGCTCAGCAACGTGGGAGCTCGTTTTGCCAACTCATTTCTGATTTTGGGCTTTTTATGCATATTTCGCAGTCCGTTTAATACGCAGCTTATGATCAATAAATGTCAGCTCAGATGGGAGATGGGAGATGGGAGAGATCGTCGGCGGCTTTTTGGCATCCCGACTTGGCCGGGTAACTGGGTTAATTTCAACTGACATGGGCCCATGTGAACCGCGCTGATATGATCGCCGTTTCCCTGGAAGTCGGCCATAAATCGCCGCTATTTAACTTTTATTTACTTCATTAACAACTAAATAGTTGCACTGGGACTGGGACTGGAACTGGGACCGCTCATCCACTGCCGCCGGCGACTTTTATCGCCTCGCTTACCCTAAATCAATGCAATCCCCTCTTCCGAGTAGACAAATGTGTGTAATCAATTTGATTGCCCCACGGCCGGCTACTCGGCCACTTGGGCACTCGGGATGGCATTCTGGGACTCTCATGCTCCTCCGATTCTAATGTCTGACTCCCGAGATCGCTGGCGTATTAATCAAATTGTTGTTAAGGCCCCCTTGCGACCCCTCACGCCCCCATAAACTCCCTATAACTTTCCGGCCAGCGATTAATTTTTATGTATTTCTGAACCGTTGCCTGCCGTTGGTTCTCCAACTCTTTGCCTCTTTGGCTCTTTGCCTGTTTAATTGCCGCTCGGGGCATCTCCGCTGGCATCTCAATACATGTTTAGGCACTTTGTGTAACACTTTATGACGGCTACACCCCGAAAACTCCGGCGACTCCCGACTACCGTTGCCATGTGGGAACCATTTGGAGAGATGCTTTTCGGAGATAGAACGGCCCACTAATCTGGCGGATCGCCTTCGAGGGGTCCTCGATCCGATCCTATTAAACCTTGCCGGGAATTCTTGGTCAGAAGGCTTTTTATAGAACACGGAGAATAACTTTATTTAAATGTCAGAATATGTTGACTAAGTGTAGGTATTAAATTGCTAGGAAATGGATCTGATCCAAGTTAAATATTTTGCTTTCTTATAGTAACTCTAAACTCACTGAAAATAAAATAAGAAGAGATATTTGATTTACTGCTTTCCGAAAATTTCAGCCCTAAGAGCTCTCATTAAAATCAACTCTTTTGCTTGCAGAGTTGATAAATCACTCAGAAATAAACCCAAGTCATCATTATTTACGTCCCCCATCAAAACTTTGCCCTTAGCCATTGCCAATTCACATGGGTTGAATCAACTTTGGTTTTTGTTTCTGCCGAGACACTACACCCGCATGAATTTGGATCTGGGGCTTTTTTCGATTATTGCTTTCGGGTTCGATCCGTTTTGCATGTTGGTTTGCTTACCTTATGGACTAACAGTATTAAAATTAAAGCAATTAAGTTGCAGGCAGACTTTAATGATCGACAATCGCGGATCGGCGATGGCAGAGCGGCGATTTTGGGTTCCCGGTGCCTCGAGCTCTGCCTTCTTTTTGTCGCCGTCTTTTTGGACATTCTCAGGCTGTCTGCTAAGCCTTCTGCTCCAAATGTTGTTGTTGTTGCTATTATTGTTGTTGCTGTTGATTCCGCTGGCGATGTTGGTTTTCGCCGAAAATGTTTCCTAAACATTTTGTACATTCTGGGGGCGTTTGCGAGCGTGATGCTGGTCGGGATCTAGATGGAGTTTTTGTTTGGGGTTCACTTTGGATTGGCACCACAAATGTAAATTCGCTCGCGGACGCTTAATTAGCCCATGTATGCAGATTTTTGTGCCTTTGTCTAAGTTTTCACTACACTTGTTTAGGGGCTACACTTGGTTGTACTCGGAATGCTGTATCATTTTCTCCACTTTGCCTCCGTTTTTGTTTTTTTCGTTTTGTTAGTGTTGTTATCACAAAATTTATTATTTATATGGGGCTGAGTGTGTATTTCTCGTTTGTTTTGTGCACACTTAACACTTCCACTTGATGATAGGCGATGTTTTTTGTAGATGTTGCTGTAACAATTGTCGAACGAAATGGAATTGAAACGTTGAAGCTGTGGCAAATCTATTTCACTGTGCATCATCAGCGCTAATTGACACGCAGTTGCTGCTGCTGCAGCAGCAACATCCAGTAGCCAGTAGCAGCAGCAGCAGCAGCAGCAACCGCAACCGCAGCAACAAGTGCCGCCAGCCACCGCAGCAACATTTACTTTTGCCAGACCGCAAAAGCGGCAACGTGCAGCAAATGCAAATGCAATTCAATTTATGTTAATTTAACGCTGTTACTGCTGGTTGTTGTTGTTGTCGTTGCTGGTTGCTGCTGCTGCAGTTGCTTCAGTTGCTGCTGCCATGGATCCGTGTCTTTGGCCACAAACAATTTGCATCTTGTGCGCATATTAATTTACAGATATTTTCACTCTTGCCCACATTACTCATTCTTCTTCTTCACTTCCCTCCCCTCCCCCGTGGCCTTTGGCCCCCTTTTTGCCCCCGTTCCTCCTACTCGGGTGTTAATTGTCCATTTAATTAAGTAATTTGCTTGGGGCCTACTCCCCGACTTGCCACAAAACGGAAGTCGTTGACTTTGAATCGAAACCCAGATGCTGCCGCTTATGTTGCTGTTGCTGTTGCTGCCGCTTGTGTTGCTGTTGCTGTTGCTGATGTTGCTGGTACGGGGCATGACCGGAAGTGGCTTTTGCAAGTGGATGATGCAGCCACCTCCCCGTAACTCCCCATACTTTCACTCTTCACTCGTTGCAATTTGCAAAGTGCTGAATGAATTGCCGGAGGCCTCGAAACTATGGCATACTCTATCTCTATTATTCGCTCAGCAAGAGCTTGCTCATTTCTTTGTAATGTTTCTTCATGATATACTCTGATTTGTCCAGTAATTGGGATCTGAATAAGCTGTGGACCGTGCTAAATCATAAATCTTACCATATGGTAAACGATTGTGAGTGAGGCAGTGCATGGAGCATTTCCATCGCTCTCTCAATCGGGGCTTTCCCATGATCGTACCACCCATTCAGAACCTTCCTGATTTCACTATCTCTCTTTTCTGCCTCTGCACAGTACAAAAATAATCTATAAACCTAATTTAGAATTTGAATTTTTTTTAAATATTTTATTGTTCAAAAAGGTTAACTGTCAGTTAACTGCAAATTTGTTTTTTTTTTTTAATTTGTATATCCCCAAATATATATTTTACAAGTTTTATAAATTCAAGCATTGGTTGCATTTCTCTATTTTCTTTCCGTGTCCCCATTATTATTATTATTTGTATTATCTTCGCATTGCATTATGCACTAGTTGGGTGTTTTCATTATTTCTCCTCTCCTGCACTTTGCATGTTTCAATTCCACTTCGTAACTGGTGGCTGTGTCCCTGTGTTCTGGCTGTGTGCATTATCAATGGAGCACACTGTGGCCACCGATTCCCCGGAATGGGGCACTCGTTTTCGCATATTCACATTGTTTGCACTTTTACTTTTCGCCTTTGATTAAACACAATTTTTAACGGCATTGTATTTTGATATATTAGTGTATTGTATTTAATTGAAAGGTATTTCCGTTTTCTTCGCTCACACGATCTCGTCTCTGGTCTCAGAGGAATTAATCACACACAATAGTACGCACAGAAAATGTCGGCTGATTGTCGATCTTTCGATTTGCTTTTCTTCCACCACCGAGCATTTCAGTTGATTGCTCTTCATCATTTGTTGTAATCAGCAAGCAATTTGATTCGATTGCGGCACATTTAACACTTTCACAATTGTAATGGGGGTTTTTGAGGTTCGGGGTTCGGGTTCGGGTTCGGGTTCACTATAATCCAATTCGAGGAGGGGTTTACCGTTGTCAAAGACAGGGGCTCATCACCGCTCGAAGCACGTCGCTCGACTAAACGCGTTAACCGAATCCTGCGGCATTTCCAGCCCTCGAGCAGCATCCACGGGGCGGAGCAAGTCACGCGAGAGTTCTGTGGTTTTCGTTTTGGTGGTGGTCGATGGTCGCTGGTCGCTGTTCGATGGTCTTAAGAGAGCTCTTTCGCTTGTGGGTCTGAACCACCGAAACCGCTTTCAGAGTGCTGGCGACAACGACTACGACTTCCGCTGGTTGCTGCGTGCGCTTCAGGCCTCGAGTAACGACTGATTGCCGCTGGGCACAAGTTGCCGCCGATCCCGATACCGATTCCGAGAGCTTAACGCTTACCGCTCCGCTCTGCAGCAGTTCTCTTCGGGGAAAACCAGTTTGCTCTTCGCGGCGCGCTCTTTAGCCGGCCGCTGATTGGTCGTATGCCAGCCCATATCGCCCCGGGGCCCGGAATCTGAATCGGACTCGGACTCGGAATCGGAATCGGCCGTTAATGGAGTTGCTGCCGCTTCGGCTGCTGCACGCATGCGCGCCCGAGGCTCTGAGCTGCCGTTTTTCCTTTACGATTCCAACTTAATTATGTTTATAACTGCATTCCCCCCAGTCTACCTGTGTGTGTGCTTGTGCTCTAGATCTATATAGTAGCATCAAGGGGACTGGCAATTAACACCCAATCCTCCGGAACTCTCCCACAAATGTTTTCGTCTGGGAACCAGGTCTCCAAAAATAAAAAATAAGCTAGCCAATTATTAACCCCGCAGACAGATCGGCGACTTCCATCCAATTATCTGCTGGCCGAAAGTGTATAAATCAAATTTAAATGCAACTGGCCTATCAGCGCAGCCAAAACAAAAGACTTAAGCAACAAACTTGGCAATTACATGCGGCCAACAAGACAAGCGGCAGCATCTTTGTTGTTGTTGCTGCTGCTGCCGCTCTTTGCTGCACTTTTATTGTTGTTGTTTTTGTTGTTGTTGTTGTTAGCGGCTCATATTTCTTGAGGCGCATATCTAAATATCGAATCATGTTGCTGATTTTCCATTGTCTGCCCACCACAACAACAGCAGCAGCAACAACAACAACAACAATTTCCGATGCTGCTGCTGCAACAACAACTGCAACAACACATAGTAAATCTCATTGTGCCGTTGTGACATGACTCTTGTTCGACAATAGATAAAACAAATTGACTTGGTGTGTGCCCAAAATGTCTTCTCTAGGCTCCCTGGCCATTTGGGTCTGCCATCCTCCTCCATTTGGTGGGCGTACTGGGCAGCGGTCTCCCAGCTCCTTTGTCATCTTTTCTGGCTCGGAAAAGAGTAGAAAAAGAAGAAAAAAAGAAAAACTGCACTACAATGCCCATTATCAGCTTACACATCTGCGACAAGAGACCCCAGAGCGGCAATACAATTGTACGGGCCACCGAGACGACAGCGGCAACAGCAACACAAACAGCAACAACAACAGTCGGGCAACGGCAACGTTGTCCAAATATGTTGCAAGTTGGTGTTATTCTTCACACGGCATCATAAATTTCACGTATAATTGACGCTTTCAGTTATATCAAAATTGGCTAAAAGGCGACGACCGGCTTTGCTTTGCGTTGGTGGCCAGCCAACTGTGGACTGAAAAGTCAACGGAGACTCCAGAGACTCTGAGCCATGGTCCCCAGAGATATTATTTTTGCCCACTGTGGCTCACATTGTTTTCGCTTTGATTTCAGCTAATAGCAGACAACATCTTACAGGTGTCTCTGTAATCGCGTCTCTCATAATTTGGGAACCTGTGTGTGTCTCTGTGTGTGTGTTTTGTGTGTTGGCGGTTGGTTGGACACTTGTTCGGGTTTAATGGCATTTCTTTGTTGGGATTAGCTTTCGTTTTTCGTTCATGTCTTTGCTGGCACACGGAACAGCTGCAGAAGTGGATCAGAGCAGTGGCATAAATCCATAAAATCAAGCATATTGAGTAATCAAAATGTTGAACCCACCCTCGCTGGGAAGGGTCACCCCCTCTAAACCCTCGAACCCTCAAAACCTCAAAACCCTCAAACCTTCGTCGTCGACCAGTTGGGCGAGTTCATTAAACAAACAGGCAAATATGTTGGCAATTTCAACCAGTTGGTTTTACACCACTCAACATTTTATGACAGATTTTTCAAGTGTTTTTTCCGCCTCCTCGTTTTTCTTTTTTTATTTTCATTTTTTGTTGTTGCTGTTGTTATACTCCTTCTGCTGCTGTGGTGCAGCGGTGGCGGTTTGCGGTTAGTGGTTTGCGTTTGAGTTTGAGTTTAGTGGTTAGTGGTTAGTGGTTACTGCATAGTGGCCGCCCTTAGCCTCAAGAATCATTGGCTTAGGTTAGTTGTTTATGAACGCTTTTATTGGCACTGTGCTGGGTCAGGAGATTTATGGGCAATATTTTTAGCGAGAAGTTACGGATACTTGGGAGAACACACGAGCCAAAAGACTGGGAATTAGCGATTGCAGTATTTGCCTTAAAGATCTGCGAATGTTATCTTAAACAGCACTTCGCTCTATTGCACAAAGGCCATGGAACTTTTAATTCTGTATAATGTTGGGGTTGCTGAGCAGAAGGAAGATAAAGCAGACCTATTAAATTAATGGTGAAGTAGAATTTGCTGAGGTTATTGCCAAATTTCAGCACATTTAGGGGGTCACAAATTACTGTCTCTGGGTTTTACTTACTTCGGCTAATAAATCTGGATTATTTAATTTATACGGAATACCCTAGCTTAGGATTAATGCTTCCGTAGGAAAAAGCACTTTCAGCTGATTCAAAAAATTGTAGTTTTAAAGTATACAAAACGATTAGAGATATCAAGGTTTTTTTGTCTACCGATAGGGACTGAGAAAACAGGCTTATGTCAACCCCGAACTCCGAAAACTTACCACTTTTCACTTGTGTACCAAACAGATTTTTCATTGCGCACCATCCATCAAAGCGACCACCTGACCTTACCCCACAATTTGTACCACCTTACCCGAAAAAATCAAGGCACTTGTGAACCTCACACATGTTCGTTTGAAGAGGGGGAGGGAAAATGACAGAGGTTCGCCTCATTAAACCCGAAATCCACCCCTAAATCAAAATCCAATTGCAAAATCAGTAAGGCAAACATGTTTCGAACGCATCGCATTATGACACGAACAAAGGCGATTAATTAGCGTTGATGGAAGGGGAGGGGAGAGGAGGGGATGGGAGGGGAGGGGGATGGAGTGATTTGAAAAGATATGAAAAGATATAGAGATCGGAATCGGGGAGGGTTGGCTTCGATTGCGCCGACGCGAGCGAGTAATCGAGATGGCTGCGCGTGCTCATGTCTTTCGCCAACATGTGCAACTGTTACCCACCGACTGCGACTGCGTCTCCGATTGCGATGACAGGGAAGGGGTTAAGGTGGTGATGGTGGTGATGGTGGAGTGGGTAGAAGGCAAGAAGTCCTCATATCGAGCCCATACTTTAACCCATACACGTGCATATGTCATTTTTATAGCGCTATACGTGTTTGCCATAAATCCATAACAATATGACAAGTACAAGTACTTTAGCGGCAGCCTCTCTCATGTGCAACATGTTTGCACGTTCACGCCACCGCCGGTAGACAGTAGACCAGCACCAGTACCTGGCATCCCAGCGATGGAGTCTGCTGCGCAGAGACGCCCTGGACCGACTGAAACCCCATCTCCAGCCCCCAAACTCCGACTGGGACACCTTGCCTTCCATTTGGAAGGCGATTGCGATCGCACTGCGGTCAGGATGATCTCCATGCCGTGCTCCTCATTTGTGCTGCGGCTGCTATGCTACTTGCAATGCAGCATCAGTGCACTGGGGGAAATTTGCATTAATAATAAGATAAGCAAGCGCAAAACACCCTTTTGTAATTAAATAACTCTGTAAAATATTGGCAAAGCAACAATGAAAATACAAAATAAAGAATTTAAAGTACCTTTTAATTACGCAGTAAACCATTAAACATGTTTTTGATTTTAATAACGAACCTAGCACTATAAATTATGTTTATTTCTTCCCGTGCAGGGTAAATATTTCGCGCTACTCGCCGCCGCCTGACATGATTTACATGAAGTGAAGACGCACGTTTTTATTACATTTTCGTGGCTGTAAGTGCACCCAAGGCAGCCGGGCCACCTAAACCACCACCACCTCCTAAGCACCCAACTTCCTCGTCCTCGTCCTCATCCACCACCAACACCACCGCCGTGTCATCAGCGGTTCGCCTTTGATTTGCGGCAAATGTTACGCACTCGCCCGAAATCGAAATCGAAGTCGAGGAAGTGGAAACCAACAGCTGTGCAAGTGGAGGGTTAAATGCGCGAATCATTTATCATTTTTGCTGTTACAATTTTCAAGTGTGCACCGCCCCCGGCCCAACTGGCCTGCAATTAAACAAACAATAACCTTTCCGGTATCAGAATCAAATTCAGAACCGAAGAGGATCGGGGTTGGACACTTGTCACTGTCCGGATAAATGTCGCCCTTCTCGTTGCCGGCTTAAGTCGACGTTTTAATTTTAGTCCGCTGAACGGTGAACGGATGAGTTTCTGTGGTTTCTGGAAAATTGAATACCACATTCACTGGAAGATCGTAATCCTCAAATGAGATTGCTTTAGAGTAATCGCTTCATTTATGGAGGATTTTCGGGCTTATTAAGCTTCATTAGGTTTTAATCAAATTGGTTAGCGAGGAGCGGAGAAATACGAGCTGCTCATTTCGGGGGCCCGGAATTATGTTTACATAGGAAAGACATTTGTTACCTAGGTGGTCCCCTTTTTTGTATTTACCCCGTTCCCAGACCGATGTAGCCGGCGAGAAATTTCAACTAATTAAAATACCTATAAACTCTGCATGTTGAGTCCTGTGCTGCGGCAGCATTTCCAGCATTTCGTTGGAAATTTTCAAACAGACTCCTCGGGATAAGCAACACGCCAACCCAACAAATGACCAGCCGAAGCCGAAACCGAAAATCGAGAATCGAAAACCTAAAACGAGGCCCTTCGAACCGGCCAAAGATGAATGGTTGGACCTCGGCAGGGTTGCCCAAAACCCCCGAACCCTTGATCCCCAACCCAAAAAACCGACTGACAGCAAACAGAAATCGACAGCCGTGCGGTGTTTACTACTCCAACAAGATCCCAAAAAAAAACCAAAAAAAAAAATCGAAACACAAACAACAATAACAACAAAAACCGGACAGAGAAAAAAAAACGAAATTCACTTCTGATCGCAC